GGCCCTGGACAAATGAGAGGACTGGGCAATCACCAGCTGCATGAAGCTCAACAAGGGGAAGGGCTGGACTCTGCACCTGGGCCAGGACAACCCTGGATGAAAACACAGACTGGGGAAGGAGAGGCTGGGAAAGCACTGCCATGGAAAGATGATGTTGTTGAATCAGGGACGGAAAGAAGACTCCAGTCTTCAGGTGGATCAGTAGGTAAAAGTGTTTAATAAAAGTAGCAGGTCTTTTTATAAAATGTGACTTGCTAAGGTGATACTTGATTGGTCTCAAAGTGAAACACCTATGCTATTGTTGAACTATGAATAGTACACTTTGGAGAACCATACCTATAAACAATGGTTACAGAAAGAGAGATAATAATTGTTTGAATTCTTTCGTCTAAGTTTCTTATAGTTTTTACACAGCTTCCCAGGATTTTCCTGGGAGAACTATGTCTCTCTCTGTTCAGAAGATATGTAATTACTACAGAAAGGGACCTGGGGCTCCTGGTCAGTGGTGAGTTGAACATGAGCCAGCAGTGCCCTGGCAGCCAGGAAGGCCAACCCTGTCCTGGGGACATCAGGGACAGCACCAACAGCCGGGCAAGGGAGGGGATTGTCCCGCTCTGCTCTGCACTGAGGTGGCCTCACCTCGAGTGCTGGGGGCAGTTTTGGGTGCCACAGTGTAAGAAAGACATTAAATTATTAGAGCGTCCAAAGGAGGGCAACGAGGATGGTGAAGAGGTCCACACGAGGAGTGGCTGAGGTATTTTGAGCTGTTCAACCTGGAAGAGACTGAGGGGACACCTCACTGCAGTTACAACTCCCTCATGAGGGGAAGAGGAGGGATAGACACTGAACTCTGCTCTGTGGTGACCAGTGACAGGAACTGAGGGAATGGCCTGAAGTTGTGTCAGGGGAGGTTTAGGCTGGATATCAGGAAAAAATATTTTCACCCAGAGGGTTGTTGGGCAGTGGAATGGGGTCCCCAGGGCAGTGCTCACTGTACCAGCCTGAAAGAGGTCAAGAAGTGTTTGGACAATTCTCTCAGGCCCACAGTGTGACTCTTGGGATGTCCTGTACAGGGCCAGGAGCTGGACTAGACGATCCTGATAGGACCCTTCCAACTCTGAAGGGAGTTGGAAGGGACCAATTCCAAGGCAGAATAACTGCCTTGTTATTCTTTATTTTTCTCTACTGGATTTGGATTAGAGATAACATACTTTGCAGATCTCAATAAACAATAAAATCTTGGCTTTACTTGTATGTAAGGTGTTCTTTCTTTTTGCCCATAAACAAGACCTTGAACATAACACAGTGGAGGAGAGAGGAGTAGGAGAGCCACTTCAAACTCAGCTCCTAGCAGGGGGCCAAAAGGTACTCTAGCATTTCTCCTGCTCTTTCTGAGATATGTGACACATTTTGCCAGCTGCAAACTGCTTTAATGGGAAGTTAGACTGTTATGTTTTGTGTCATTATTTTCACACCCACAGAGCTGAGGTCTGTCTCAGCAGTGAGATTGCTTTGCCCCTCCCTGTTACCGTTTCCTTTGACATGGGATGGTGGTTTTCTTCTTAGCTAGGAAGTTAGGCAGGTGGTATCTCTCTCTATAGCTGCAGGGTAATGATGTCTTTGTTGTAGGTCCCTTACTTGACCCTGTTTAGCTGATAATCAAGAATGACTTTAAACAGCGATGATAATATGTCTTGGTGATGCCCAGAAGATTTTAACTTTGGTTATTTGGATCATCCACCACAGACCCTCCTGTCCAACCTGTGAGGGAGCGTGCCCTATCTGTGATTTACTCTTTCTTGCACACCAGCCTGAAAGCTTCTATCTGACCTCTAATTTAGCAAATTTTGTTGCTGGGAACAACAAAATATATGTTAAATTCCCCAAATGTACCCAAGGCTTCTTTTATAAACCAGGTGCTCTTGCCTAGCAGCAGGTTGGGTGGGAGTCACCAGGAGCAGGAGAGCATTGTTCCCAGGCCATCATTCACGGCCCCATCTTGTGCAGTGCAGTAGAAACCTGTGTGGTTTGTGTGGGAAGAGAGTAAGGAGGATTCAACAGTGGCACATTCTACAGGGACAGCTGCAGAAGGCATCAAAGAGGGAAATGCAGAGAAGTAGGCACACTCCATGCTGCAGAAATGGTAGCAGGAATCCCCAAATGTTTCAAACTCCATTTGCCCAATTACAGCATGTTACAGACCCTGCTGTGGTTCAAGATCTTTTCCACTACTCGTCATAACTTTACTCCCTAGCAATGTTCCTGGTGATTTTAGAAGTGTAGCATCTGACCTGTATGTTTAGGCCTAAGACAACAGAAATGAAGTGCCTGATATCTGTATTGCTCCCTAAAGTCAGTCACCCAGTCCCCAGCCCTTCACACATGTGAATGTTCTTGCTCTTTGTCTTGTGCATCGCCATTAGAGACACTGATGTTGATGGGGATCCTGCCACAGCACAAACCACTTGCAGCTACCAGGACAAAAATTATTGTAGGATACTGCCACAAGTCAGCATTTACTGCTTGCAAATTACTTTCTCTGTCTGAAGGCTTATCCTTTTTGAAAACAAATCAGTTATATTGTCTCAAATGGATTCATGCTAGTGAAAAATTTAGTTCAGATATGTGAACAAGAAACCAGACTACAACTACTGCCATGTTTCTGATACTCTATTCCTGCATTTGAGGCCAGACAATGCTATCAAGAATTTGCTAACATTATCTACCCAGAAATTGCATAATCTGGTATGTTTGTTATCTGCAGGGGCAAGTCACTATCTTCTGATGGATGAAAACTCACAAGATTCTGTACAAACAGTCATACCACCCGGATGCCACCAAAGATGGCTCTTCTGATGATGCCAAGAAGAAAAAAAAAAACAAACTAAAACACCCACCAAAAACCAAAAAAACAGCTCATAAAAAGTAACAAAACATTTCTTAGAATAGAATATTACAAGACAAATGTTCATTCTAATTGTACTATAAATATTATGTAAGCTTTAAGGGTGGCACGTTCAGTCCACCACCAGTTGTCTCTGCCAGGGACAGAAGCTGCAGTGCTGTGCTGCTGACCAGCAGCTTCCTGGAGTGTAAGAGGCTCCTCTGAGCAGAAACTCCAGTGTGGGAGTCCAGCTTTTCTGCTGACATGGCTCCCTGCGTGCACTGACCTTGCACAGATCTGTCCTGCCATCACCAAAAAGACATTCAGCATCAAGAAAGAAGGTGGCTTTGGCTGCTTTCAGCAGTGCTTTCATACAAATGTCAAGTAAATACTCCTAACTGCACTGTCACACCAGTCCCTCATTGCCTATAAGGAACCAGACCTCATCTAAAGAAAAACAGAGGTCTCTGGACCTTTGGAAAATTTGGAGCTCCAGACATATCTTGGAGGATTTGTCATTACATGACACAAAACTCTGTTTTTTTCTTAGTTAGGGACATGGGGAAAGTGGGAGGATGACTGAGTGGCTTGCCCCCAGGCAGTGGGTCTTTCTGAGAGGTTGGTGCCTGACCTCTTCTCCTACAGACATCGTCACAAATGTGATTCAAATCACAACAAACTGTGAACTTTTTGCCCCCTTTTACCCCAAAGTGGTGGGAAAGCATGTGTTCCTTGTTTGTGAAGAAAAGATTAATTTTAGCCTCTGAAGAATTCACAGAAAAAGAAATGAAGGCTGAATCAAAGGCAGTATATGAAAATGTCTCCCACTTGAAAATATTGGAACTTGCATGGAAGTTAAAATGGGAGTAGTTGAGTCCCTAGCAAGGTACTAACTACTCTGATGGCGAGGACTGCACTCTGTATATAAAAAAGGGTTTGCCAGCAGCACTGTCCGGTTTGTGGAGGACAGGTACATTGTCTTTGTCATTACTGTGTACAGTTCCTTAAGCAGCTTGGGTTATCTGCAAAGCCCATCTCCATTCCTCACAGTCCCAGACAGTGGCTTTTTAAGTAACAGGCTTCAAATAATGAAGTAAGGCTGCACAAGTCATTAAGTGGAAGTTATCTCTTCCTTCCCCATGCATGTCCAATTCTTTACCATGTTATTCCTAGTCAAAGCTAATGCAGCCAGATAAAATAGATTTTAGATAAACACATTCAGGGAGTTAAGTCCCGCAGTTTCAAGTCCAGGTATATCCCTGGTGGATCTTGTACTTTGAATAAAATACAAAACATTTCTAGGTATGAAATTCAGGTCAGTGTAGTTTTTTATCTATAATCAATATTTCAGTTTACTCCTGCTACCCAAATTGAGGCATGTGGAAAGAAAAGGAAGAACAAAAAGCAATACATCTCTTCCTTGGGTAGTGTAACATTTTCTGTCAAGGTTTTGGATTTTTGTTTGACATGTCCCTGGTCGTCAGCATGAGAAATCTAATGTAGGTTGAATGGAAAAGGTCCTCTGCCATAATGTTTAACTCAGAAGCCAGCGAACACACTGGAGCAACCCTTGGAGGGTACGAGGCTTCTTTTGCAAAGTTTCCAAATCACTTAATTAATTGAATGTCTAGCCTAGGGAATTTCCTAGAAAAGTTTCCTGGAAAGGGATAATGCGTTAAGGGCTCCTGACATGGGAATTGTGAAATGTCACAGCTCAAATCCAAACCCACTGAACTCCTTCTGCCCATGCCAAGAGTTCAGCCCTTCACTGTTGCAAGGGAGGGGAAGGAGGTCCTCTTGAACAATTCTGCTCTAGACTTGCCCCATTCTTGTAGAGACTGCTCTGAAAAGGGGTTTTCAATTGATGAGGAAGATGAAAGGATCACTACACTGAGCTAAGGGGTTTAGTGAGTCTTGTAGAATATTCAACAAGTTTCTCATTGAGCACCTGGTATGGACAGCTAGCTAGCTGTACACATAGACAGATATTTAAATAGCTCTTCATCATCGGCACAATCTGTTGTGTAGAGTTTTTGAAGGCTGTCCATGGTTTTCTGGAAGGCAGAACTTTGCCTCACGTGAAAACTAAGTTTATGTCAAACACAGCAATACTTACCTTAACTGGGATCTGTTGGAAAGCAGCCCACAATTTCCTGTTGCAAGGAAAGCAGCAAGCAGTCCAGAAGAGTGTGTGCTGGTGTGGGATGGGAAGTGGCAGCATTTGGGTGGGACAATCACACATGCAGCTGACAAAGAGGCTGCTGTACAAGGTATGTGCTCCTGCTCTAAGCAGACATGCTCTGAAAGAAATTTAATTAAAAACATGCATTGAAGTGGTAACAGGAATAAAGGATATTTTCTATTCTTCAAGGGTATTTGCTATTCTTTTCAAAAGGATTAATTGAGGAGTTAGCTAACTTTGTTAACTTCTAAACTATTAAAATTTAAAGAATTCACAGTTTATAGATTTGACAAGGAAGTAGCAATTAAGATGTATAAAAGCAATAGAACTCAAGTAAAGAGTCTTGCCTTTCTTCCATTACAGACAGAAGTTCAGCACTTACCTGAGTTTTATGAATCAACTGGCATACCACTATTATGCACAAAGACCTCAGTTCCTTGAAGGAGAATTTTGGCATAACATGGGTGATGTTTTTAAATCCTTCCTGCTCTACTGTAGAAAACTAAGATGTGTGCAGAGTGCCCTACTGCATGCAAGCCACAAGTTGGGATGGACACTCCTGTGTCTTGTGTCTCTGTAGTTCATCCCTACTTAGCTGGGGACTTCTCAAGCCATGTGAAGAAAAGTTTTTTGCATCTTTCTAGGATAATTTTCTGTCACCAGAAGGTCAGGAACACAGCAAATTTGAAAATGTTGCCAAAGAAAGAAAAATCAAATCCAACAGAAACTTGATTCTGCATAGGTAAGAGCTGCTACATTATTCTTCCTGATTTTGGTGCAGAAGCCAAGGTAGAAGATAGCAGAGAGTGCTGTAGTTCTTGATTTTAAAGTAACAGAGAAATCAAAAGTATCTCGAGTGTACACATCCTAGGAAACAACTTTTGAATCTAATACTATACTGTTGGAACACAAGAATAATTTTGCAGACTGTGATATTTTATTGTTCTCTGCAAGTGCTAAAAGATTTCCGAGCAAAAAACAAAAGCTCAGATCTCTTCATTGTGACACTGGGCCAGCTATTCTCAGTCTTCTTCCTGAGCATACTTTTCTGGAGGGATACTGGTTTAATATTTATCAGCATATCTACTCTAAAGTAAATGAAGTGTCATCTTGCCCCGTGGTAGATAAGTTCAAATTGCAACACTGAACATTACAGCTTGGATCTCTTTGAAGGATCAACAACCTATGGGCTTCAATGGATAGAATCTATAACTAATCTAACAACTAGTTTAATATCTGTTCTTTGTTCAAATATACTAATGAGATCAGTCAAGCCCATTAACAGTTCCCAGAGAAATAACCACCTAAGACATGGTTTGCTACTGCAGCTGACAAAGGCCTTCATTTCAATGAGAGCAGAATCAAGCTTATTAATTCTTATAGCTCATTAGTAATTATGGCTCCTGGCAATTCCTAGAGCTCATTAGTGTTATTGTTCCCAGTAAATTGTGATGGAATAGCTGATTATATTTCAGCAGCCTTTCAACAGGAAACAAGTTGATCCCATTTTCTGGAAGTGTTTTTAAGGTTTTTTATTTATTTCTAGCTCTAAATTAATTCCAAATTGTTCAGAACCAACAAAAGGGGTACATTCACCATAACTCATGCTGTCATCCCCTCTAGCAGAAGGCTTCCACCTCTGTGGGTATCGGGAACAGACCCTGATGCCCTGAGCCTGCAGATCCCAGTCCTGCTGTTCTATACTTGCTTGGCTACTGCTTTACACTCCATCAGTATTCTTTAACTAGAGTCTCTGCAATGTATACTGCTCAGAGAAAACAAGTTTCTGGTGATCTGTGAAGCCCTTCTAAGCATTAGCTCAGAATGCCTGACTCCCAGTGTGTATGTCTTCCCAACCTATCACTGAATTGTCTGAGAGGCAAACCCACAAGTATTTTATTTTGGTGCTCTGAATTGCATGATTGCTCACACTCTCTCCCAAATAACTTCCTAAATTTCCCTGTGTCAGGATATCCCTAACTTCAAGCCATGAACTGTGCTTGGGTTTAATATCAGAAATGAAAGGCAAAAGCCACAAGGTGGTGGCATAGTACTAAGCCCAACACAGGCTTTTGTCACTCCTCTGCAGTCAAAGCTACGTATTTTTAGGCCTTAGGGGCCAGAAAATACATGGTGAGGCTGAGAGCAGCAAAAGGTGATAAACTCACCCCAAGAGCCAGCAGAACTCACACCTTCCCTCCCACCACTGCTCGAACACTCCCCTGTGCTTCACTTTGCCTCTCAACACGCTTCCTTTGTCCTGTCTCTCTCTGCCCTAGGTTGGCTTAGCCTCATTCCTTTCCACACACAAGCTGTCTCTGAAGGGAGTGGTGCTATACCACACTGGCTGCCACGGGCCTCATGCAACAGACTTGGTAGCTATTCGTGAAACCTGGGCTTGAAAGCTGTTGCTTGCTCACTGAAATGTGCTGGGAGTCATACCACTTTCACATTATCTTCATGATTCCCATAGATTTTTGTGGTGGTGCACCCACGGCCATTCCTTTCCAGACTGCAGTGTGATCTGAGAAATGCTTGTTAGGCCTTTCCTTGAAAACACTACCTGGGCTCAGCTCTTTCTGAGCTTATCAGAACACTGTTCCCAGGAACTCCTAACAAGCTTGTTTTTCTCATAACCAGCCTTGGAAAATATTTCTCTGGCCTGAATGGCATAACATTCCTATTCTCACACTTTCAAAGAAAGTGCCGACCCAAACCGTGGCCAAGATGAAATATTGTTATGATTAAAGCCTTCTCTTTTGCAACCCAAACAGCAGTCCAAGATGGGGCCCTTTGAGCTCTCCTGGACCGCAGCGAGCCTGCGACCAGCAATGTCCCTCTAATGGGGACGCCCCTCAGAGCCAGCAAAACTCCAGGGTTGCTATACTTGGATGATCACTGAACCACCATGTGTCCTGGGCCGATACCCTCACTCCTCAAGGCCCAACCATTCTCCTGTCAGGAGATTCAAAAGCATCCAAAGTGAGTATTTTCATTGAGCTCTGAGGGAGATTTTTCCACAGCTACCTTATCTTGCACTGACTATGTTTGCCTGCATACCCTCTGCACATATGCTATAGAAAATATGGAAATTAGCTTAAGTTACAATTATAATTTAGGCTAAATGCTGGTAAGTGATTTCTCTGTTAGATTGTTAAACTATAAATTAAGATATAAGTTAAGCTAAAGCACTGTTAAGTTAGTGTTGTTAAACTTCAGGCCACATTCCTTTTCATCTTTGTTTACACTGTTTTTACCCACACATATGCACATATACCCCCCTAGGTAGTTTTCAATTAATTTCTGTTTTGATTACCTGGATTTTGTTTGGTTTTGTTGTTGCTTGCTTTCCCTTGTTGTGCCTCAGTTGTCCTCTGTAAGTAGATTGAATCTTACCTCTGTAAGTAGATTGAATCTTACAATCTTATTGTGCTTTGTAGTTCTGACTTTTGCTCATACCCTTGTGGGTGATTTTTTAGGCAATCTCAAGCACATTCGTTCAGGACAGATTTGAAACCAGCAAAATCTTCCAAAATAAAAAGCATGAGTACAAATGCTTATGAGAGGAGCAGCCTCTGGGGGAAAAGATGAACAGAAAATTCCCACCAGCATCCGGTCTTTATGAAGTTTACTTAGAATAGATGACCTTTCCTAAACTCTGGAAATTATTTTTTTGACTATGGATGATTTAACTATAAGCATTCACTTGGATTTCAAAGGCTTAGCAGGTTTCCACAGACATGTCTAGGCGCTGGCTCAGTTACAGCACATCTTGCTGAGCAACTTGAAACACACACTTTTAACTAGACATTTCTGTGGGAGGAACCTCAGAGCTTTTCTTGTGTTTGTGTGCAGCCCACATTCATAAATCACTCCATTACCTGACCTCTGTTCATGAGCTGAATCTCTCTTTGCAATCCAGGTCATGCTGCCCGTGAAAGGAAATTGTCTCCTCTCTCAGCTGGGCCCTGACCAACTTTGGCTTTTTGATAAAGCTCTCAAAAAAAAATCCCGAAGGCAATGGCAAGTAATGAACCAATGTAGAACAAGATGCAAAAGACAGGACGTTTATGGAGCGAAAGGGTAAAGATCTTTATCACAGCATGCAGAGCAGACACCAGGATGAACAAGCACCACGGCACTCTGCAGGTGGAGCTGCAGAGGGAAGGGTAGAGTTAATTCAGAAGCCTGGTAATTTCACAGTCAGGCAGATGGTATTTCAGAAGGTATAAAACCCACTGAACACTCAGTGTAGTTTCATTAGCAACTGCTAACGACTAAACACCAGAATTTATGTTGTTCTCTGAGCAAATAAACATCTGACAACAAATAACTGGAAGTTAGTATAGAATAAGGACAATTCCCGTCAACTGAATTGCATAGACGGTAGATTGGTAGATTTAAGAGTAGTAACTTGTCACACTAAGTCTGGAGAAAGAGTGTGGCTGGTTAACTATCTGGAAAATTATTCACTTCCCTATTCAAACCACTTCTAAAAAAATATATATATACACAGAATCACAGAATAGTTTGGGTTGGAAGAATGTAAAGGTCATCTAGTTCCAACCTCACTGCAATGAACGTGAACACCTTCAGCTGGATCAGGGTGCTCAGGGCACCCTCCAGCCTGATCTTGAAAGTTACAAGGGATGGGACATCTACCACCTCTCAGGGCAACTTGTGCCACTGTCTCACCACTGTCATTGTAAAATATTTCCTTATATTTTTCTTCAATCCACCCTCTTTCACTTTAAAACCATTATCCCTTCTGGGCCCTGTCTTAGTTGTAATCCCCACAGAAGTATTGAAAGGCTGCAGTGAGATCTCCCTGGAGCCTCCTTCTCTCCAGGCTGAACAAACTCAACACATCCTTTCGTCACGGAGGAGGTGCTCCAGCTCCCTGACCGTCTTTGTGTCTCTCCTCTGGACTTACTCCAACAGATCCACGGTCCTCGTGCTGGGGACCACAGAGCTGGATGCAGCAGTGGTGGGTCTCACCAGAGCAGAGCAGAAGAGTAGAATCACCTCCCTCAGCTTACAGAGATAGTAAAATATTTACATTTAAAAAAATAAAAATTCTCTTCTTCCTTTACCTTTTTTTTTTTTTTTTTTTTTTTCCTGCAGGGAAGATAAAAGCAATAAACATGTAAGCATTAGAAAGATGAGATGGAGTCAATTCCTTTGCCGTGCTCATCTCCTCACAGCTGCAGTGGATCAGTCTCCTGCTTTTATTCTCACCAGTGGCCTGGATGAACTAGAAGGAATTATGTTCTAGTATGAGTTCTCACAGAAAACAAGAAGAGATGTACAGACCCTACCGTTCATCCCACCTTATGCCCCACAGAAATACTCAGTGCCAAGTCAATCCCAGAAGCACAGGGTACTCACAGGTTTCCCTGACAACACCAGGTATGCAATATTCTTCTCGATTTCCTTTCTTAATCTGCCTTCAAGAAGATCAAAATGATAACCAAAACAAGGTTGGATTATCTTCTAAAGTATGAATATACTTTTAGTAAAAGTATAACTTCCACCTGGAAAAAAGAAATAGGTCAAGTTTCTCTAAAAGACTGCTTTCAAAAACACCTCAGAGAAGTATGAATATCTAAAATACACCAGGGAAAATGTATTGCAGAAATTATTTATTTCATGCCAATTTAAGTATTTGACTATATATATTGTAACACACATTTCAAAAATATAATCCAATACAACAGTAATTCAGAACACTACAGACAAAAATGTTTAACTCTGTGAATTTCAAAACAAGGTATTTATGCATACATACTCGTATCATAAGGCAAAAGAAGATAGTCTATCCATAAGCAGCACTCCTACAGCCTATCTTGATATACACTGGAGAATGGAGGTCTATTACTAAACCTATACTTACAAATTAATTCCCTTATCTTCCAGATACTTCTACAGAAACACAATGTATTTCTATTGAAAATAATTAATTTCTACAGTGATAGCTAAGGTATCATTCTGAAACTACTAGTTCACAGGAATGTCAAATATAACAACATTATCCTGAGAAAATAACTGAAGTTGCATACTAAAACACACACATGCACACAAAAGCATGCTGAGAACTTTGTTCCAATGCATTCTAAGAGAAACAAAGAATAAACCTGATTTGGCTTATGATATGACTCAAATAGAGGGTACCAAATATAATGCAATAAAATCAACAACAGCAATTAATGTATTTAAAAGGGATCTAGTTCAACGTGCCTTTTTTTTTTTTTTTTGCTAGGAATGCTGAATTTCTGTTAACATAATCAAATGGTGTAGGAGTGTCTCAGCTTCAGATTAGACTACTTAATTAGAGGCACAGCTAGTATTAGGTGACTGCCATGAAGCAGCACATATTCCTGCAGAGCCCATTAGGGAAAAGGAATGTAAAAGTTTCAGAAAGTTTACAAGACTCACAACTAAGCTGCTCTAAAAAAAGTAACAATTTTTTTAATTTCAAAGAAAAATTAAAAAGCTAGGACACGATATATCCCCTTAGTAGTGTTATTGTTAATAATTAAGATGCACCTATATGTCTGTAATGAACCATTCAGATTTTTTAAGAAGCTTCATAGAAAGTTTTCCTTCATAAAGTGTTCTCTATTTGGTATTAAGAATGCCCCACAGATTTCAAGTAATTAAAGCAATAATGAAGACTGAAACTAAATGGAGTATTTTTCACATAATATTTACAGTATTCCACGACAAATTTAATAAAATACAAATTACCATAATCATAGAAAATCATAGTAATAATTTTTAAATATTTCCTATGTAAAAACCATTGTTCATGTTGTATTTTAAAATAGCACGATAAATATTGAAAAGGCAGCAGCTTTCCACCATTCCTGTTAATACTGTTAATGACTACTTTACAAGTGCTTGACTGCAAAATAAAGTCAGATTACATACCATCATTTTTCCAGTAGTATAGTTTATAGAAGCATAAAGTTTCTTTTTTTCTTAACACTTTACTGTAGTTAAATAAGAAGCTATGTCGTCCTTTGCCCAAAGCAAACTATCACTATGAGCACAGATTAGAAGTTACACAACTTTTACCTTCCCTTATAAAAACACTGCCTCATTTCACAGCTGAGAGATGCACCCCTCCTTAGCTGAGTAGGGCACATATTTCCCAGTATACATATCAAAATATATATTAAGAAAAAGAGAACTACTAATCTAGTAGGAGTAATAAGTTTGACTACAGCTTTTTGCCTACCCATACTTTTTAAGAACTCCAACACTGATTAGGTACTGTTTTCACACTGCTTTTTGAAGTTCATTGTGACTTGCACACATTATTTTACTCATTTAAATCTTTGACAGGAAGACATTCAAACATTTGTACTTAACTTGGGTGGGATTTTTCGTGTTTTGGTGTTCACTGATAGAGAGAAAACCGCAGAAATGATGGCAAGAAGTATACACTAACTGCTCAGTAATTCAAGAAGTGAAACAATAAAGAAATATATAATTGACATTCTTTAGCAGCAAATAAGTATGACTCTATATATACACTGACAGAAAAATACATTAACACTCAGTTTCCAAAAGCACAGTTTGCAAGGGAAGTGTATTTAAAATCACCTAATTTGGAACATCAGAAGTGTTGCAAGAACACTGTTAGTCTACAGTCACTGCTTAAACATATCAAAGCTAGTTTTAACTTCATTTAGCTGCAGGGCTACTGGGACTGGAGCTGTAGCAGGGAAGAACCCATCAAGGGTTGCCACAATCTGTCTGAGAAGCACCATGGAATCCCAGAATGGTTTGGGTTGGAAGGGATCTGTAAAGGCCACCTAGTCCAATGCTCCTGTAATCAGCCAGCACATCTTCAACTAGAACTGAGTGCTCAGAGCCATGTCCAGGCTGGGCTTGAACGTTTCCAGGGACAGGGCATCAACAGCTCTCTGGAGTGGGGTAAATCCTTAGGGACACAGCCCCCAGCCAAGTTCTGCATTTTTTGTCCTAGCAGTAACCAAACTTGTTTGAAACTAGCTCAAGTGAACAGCAAATGTTATTCTTCTACAGTTGTACACCATATTTCTTTATTGAAAGCATTCCAGATTCAGTCATATGAACCCATAATGAATTTTCAAAACATACATTAAATTAGCCAATAAACAGCATGTAATTAGAGCCTGGATAACTCCTATGGAAAAAACTTGATTTCACTTATCAACTCCTTGTTTAACTGAACAGCATCCAGGGACTATGTGACAGCAGGCATTGCCAAGCATGATACAGAGAATTCTTTAGAGCTTTTCAGAGCTCAAAAAGCAGCCATTGGTTCTCCCTTACTCCACTGCAACATCAAAAATGTTCAGGTCAGAATGTCTATGTTAGAATCTGAAATCCCACAGCCATTAATTTATACAGTTAACTCTTCAAATTACTGTATTCCAATGAAATCTGCACTAGGGACTAGTTACCTGTTATATATAAAATCTTGACCATGTTTCCCCTGAAAATTCTGTTTGCAGCCATTTCACTGAGAGGGGGAAATAAACAGGCCCCAAGAAGGCTCAATCCCATTGTCTAGTCACCAGGAAGTAGGTAAGGTTATTTCACAGATTTTCAGAAAACAAGACTCTCCTTCTAATAGTTTTTCTACTGGCTCTGAATTAGATCCCTTTGAAGTGACATCTCAAGAGTTAAACAAAGAGTTTGAATTTTATTTCTGCCAAAGATTTTTATAAATAAATCGCTGATCCAAATTTTTAAAAAAGAAATATAGAGTCTAAGAACATTCATGTGGATGGGTGTCCAAGAACATATACAACACCTTTCATATAAGGATGAATTCAAGATAGCACTACTAAGTAGTTAAAAAAGAAATTAAATAGCTGCTACCATAGAATTCCTAAAGAAATATCTGAATAAAGAGACTAATCTTCTCAACTTCCAGTCCCAGTAAGATTCAAACCTAAGACTTGGAACAAGCTTTTACAAACACTAAAAAGTGACCTCATATGAGTAGTCTGGAAATTGCATGAGCTTGAATGCCTGTGGGTATGGCTGACATTCAGTGTATTCACCTAAGAACAAAACTGACAATTATTGTATGTCTGCTAATTTATTAATATAATTATTTCTATACAAATAAAGATTTTTTTTCTCCTTCATAGTAACAATTCAGTGTTTCAAAACAGGCAGATCAATGTATTACAAATACCACTACTGTTACAACACATATACTAAAATCACAGGAGGTAGAGTTAGATCCCCATTAACAATTACTTGAGAAAACACAGACTATTTTAAAAAATTCCTAGAATATGTCATTCATGAAAACTTACTTTTCATAATAACTCATTCCTAGCTGCTTTAAGGGATGTGTTTTTTAAGCATGATAAAAAATGCATGATAAAAACATGTTCTCTTTTAGTTTTCAACATAACTTTGCAATAAGCACATAAGAAAGCTCCCAAGTGGTAAAGATTTCAGAGAAACTGGAAAAAAAGCAACATTTTAAATTATTCAAATTACCAAAGTTATAATGAATTTGACCACATCTTTTACCTTATGATTATATCTGAAAATTCATACAACTAATTATGATTTAAAAATATGCCTACACTAATGAAATTAATGTGACGCTTTTTCACACTGTTAATAATTGGCATTTTTGAATGGCAAAGTATTACTCTTTTTGCAACAACCTACTGCAAAATACAGGCACCTTAAAAACTGATACATAATGCAACCAGGGTATTTAGGATATTAGAAGTGTTTACCATTACCTAGCCATGCTATGTATTTCCCTTCTTTTAAAGAAATACTCTACAGTTTGAAGCCGTGCCTGAGGTGCGTGCAAATTATCATATTTCAGTATTTAATTTCATCTTCATAGTATGTTTCTTTTACAGTTACAAAAAAACTAGAGTGCCATGATTTTGAATCATTACATCTGTAAAGATCTTAAGCAGACGTATCTTCAATAATGTATTCTTGCTATTGCACATACGCTCATATGACAGTGACACTCAGGTCCATATTCAATTTCAACTATTTACACATGCTAAAATCATGTATCTGCATATAATGTTGGAAAATAAAAAATACAGCCTTTTTTGACCAACACACATCACTCCAAAATTTATACCAAAAAAGATTCATGGAACCACAGAGTACCAGGATGGAAGGAACCTCAAGAGCTGTCTGTTGACACCAAGCTGTGTGGTGCAATTGGTAGTGGAGGGAAGGGAAGCCGTCCAGAAGGACCTGGACAGGTTCTACTTCAGAGGTTGGTCTGTGCAAAGTAAGGACAAGGTCTTACACCTGGGTCATTGCAATCTCAGGCAAAACTTCCAAGTTGGGCAGAGAACAAAATGAGAGCAGCCCTGCCCAGGAGGGCTTGGGGGTGCTGTGGGTGAGAGGCTGCACATGCCCCGGCCATGGCACTGCCAGCCCAGAGAGCCAAACGTGTCCTGGGCTGCATCCAGAGCCCCGTGGGCAGCAGGGCAGGGAGGGGATTCTGCCCCTCTGCTCTGCTCTGCTCAGACCCACCTGGAGCACTGCATCCAGAGCTGGGCTCCCAGCACAGCAGGGACAGGGACCTGCTGGAGTCAGCCCAGAGGGGGCCTCCAGGTTGGTGAGAGGACTGGAGCACCTCCCTCAATGAAGAAAAGCTGAAAAAGTTGGGGCTGCTCAGCCTCGTGAAGAGAAGGTTGAGTGGAGACCTCACAGGAACCTTCCAGTGTCTGAACATGCCTAAAGGGAAGCTGGAGAGGCACTCTATATCAGGAGGTGTATTAATAGGACAAGGGGGGATGTCGGGAAGGATGAAAGTTTGACAAGAAAGTCTCACAAACATGTATGCTTAGCAGAAAGATTTTTGAGTGTAAAAGCTGAGGAAGGAATAGAGATGGAAGCAAGTTTTGATACAGAAGAAAGGAATGGCTGATCCAATCTTACTAGGCGACCAAGGAGGCAAAGGGTATGTTAATTAGAAGGGGTTTTTATGACTTAGAGCAAAGGATAAACCTACCTCAAACAAGAAGATGTTTTTACCAAGCAGAAAGACAGCACAGGCAAACAAGTCAGCAGATGTTGCAAGTAGAAAAAAGGCCTCAGAATTTTCCACTGCAAGAAAACTGAAAAAGAACTTCTAACTTAAACTGTAATGTAATAAAACTTTTAGTGACTGGAGAATAGTGACATGAATATGGTAATTATAGTAGGATAGGCTATAGATAAAAGTTAAGGTATAGATTGGTTCTACTCTATTAAGATGCTTAGCAAAGAAAAGTATATAATACATTTGCAACCTAAGCTAAGGGTCTCCAGGCCTGCCTGCAGCTGACAGCCATAGGCACAGGCTCTGTCGCCCACGACCCTGGACTGCTGTAACATCTTGGATGTAATAAACTGCATTTGGAAGAGCTGCCTGGAGTTCCACATCTCTCATTTAGGGTCTTAGGGAAATGGGTGAAAATTGGAAGAGGACAGATTTAGATTAGATATGTTAAGAAATTCTTTATTGTAAGGGTGGTGAGTACTGGCACAGCTTGCCACACAGAACTTGTGGATGCCCCATTTGTGGGTGTGTTCAAGGCCAGGCTGGATGGAGGGCTGAGCAACACCGGAAGGTGTCCCTACCCATGGCAGAGGGACTTGAAATTAGATGATCTTTAAGGTTCCTTCCAACCCAAACCACTCTGTGACTATGATTTTACAGTCCAACCTTTCTCAGCAAAAGCACAGATGATATAACTGCACTTTGGATGCATCAGTATGCTCTCACAGCATTGGTTAAAATACAAAATTAAAAATTCCAAAAAATCTCTTCCCCAAACTTAGACTGTTACAGTTCAAGTTGAGCCCTAGGTATATTTATGAGTTTACCATCTATTAACTTTAAATCGTTTTCTCCTTTTGGTCATGACACAAAAGCCCACACTGATGCACAACAGTATCTACAACAGCAGAAGCATATTCACAAGTGGTGAAGTTATCATACACGTGCATTTCCAAAAGAGTTGTTCCTTCATATTTTTTTTAAGAGTCTTTGATGGTTTAGTGATATATCGTAAATACATTATATTCCAAGCAATGAGTAGGAGCTAGATTTCCACTGAATTTTCTTTAGCTTTGATGAGCTTAGACATCATCAAATATTTTGCTTCGAGACATTGACAGGTATCTTCCACCAGGCTGGTACCTGCAGAATCAATTTCAGAAGTGAAAAAGTGTCACAGGAAATAGAAAAATAAAGACCCATTAACTCATCTAACTCTCTTTGCAATCTTACTCCTTAACTCCGGTGAATGATGAATTTGATGTTCTACTGAATTAGTTTCCATGAAAATTTGAAAGACAGTCATTAAATTAAACCTCATGTGACCAAGAGAAAGAGTTATATGAATACTGAAAGTCTTAAAGAACTATATTTCCCGAAACAAAGGAAAGAAGTTGGATGTTTTGGTTGAACAGGACCTTTTTTGAAACCTGCAACCACACCAACTAAACAAATAAACAAAAACCCGAAACACAATAAACCTAAACAAACAATGGCACCCATAAAGTAGCTGTGGGTGCTTAACAGTACATCTCATGGGGTATTCTTAGAAGAAATACAGTGTCAAAGATAATGCCTGCGTCAAACAAATACCTGCATGCTTACTGGTAAAAGAGAAACTTCACAAATTGTTGATCAAAGATATTTTAGAAACACTTTAAAGACACAAATAAAGTCCAACACAGGCACAATGAAGCTCCTCACTTTAGTATTTAGTAAAATCTGAATGAACACAACGCCAGAACCTGGTGTCCTAACTGTCCTTATCGTCCAAAAATCTTCGATTTACTGCAGGAGCTCTAGTTTTGAAAACCAATGTTACATAAGCTACTTCTAAATTAACTGAAATTCCATACGCAATTACTCTTGACTTATTACTTCCATGAAATGAAATGAAGGTTACTGGGCGAATCTCAACTAAGCTTTGAAGCTCCTGATTTTTTTTTTAAAGAAGTTTAGAATGTTCCACTTTGCAAAGCAAGTAGAGATTCCCAGAGACTTCCTTGTACTTGAAAAGTATTTGCTCCAGAATAATTACATATGCATACTCCTGTTTTTAGTAGACAATCCCTTTGACACTGCATGGAAGCCAACTGCTGACAGGAATTCTAGGGTAGTTCCTCTTTATAAACTTTTGTGTTTAAAAACCTGCAAGTGTTCAAATGTGGTGATATGAGACTAAACCAGTTGTCTGAATCAACCTGTAAAAGCTGGCAGTGCCATTTCACAGCATTCTTTACATGTTTCTGAGCCGGCATTTGCTTATTGACATTATAGATAGAAGTCCACTGAAACAATGACTTTCTGTGACTCTTTTTGATGGGGGTAAAATAGTTTTAGCTGAAAAACAACAAATTAGAAGTTTTTATATGTGAATTTTGAACTATTTTTCATTTCTACACTATAACCACCCCTCCAAAAAAAAAGCACCCATACAATGTATTACTTGTTTCTTAAATATAAGCAGAGCTTAGCAGTTACATAAGGTGCTCTGTGACTGAGGAAATTTGATGTTGCAGTCACAACCACAGAATCACAAAATTCTCTGCTACAGACAGAGCTACAGAGTGCTATATCAACTATGTACTCTGTTCAGGAAGTTCAGATTTTAATTTACTTCAGTAGTTCCAAGATCTGATACCCAGCTGTATTCCTGCAGCAGATCCTGTAACATTCATTTTTCTTTCCTACAGCCTTTTCATAATGAATTTTATACTGGAAAATCAAGAGAGCTTTCTCCAGCTGAGCTTTGTAGGAAATCCGGGAAAACCTTACACGTACATCTGTCTGTTGAGGCATACACCTAGACCTGGTAGCTCGGTGTGCAGCTGCAGGTTGTGCCCTGGATGTCAGGATATGGGAGCCCCAGGCAAGGTGCCATGAACAACAAAGAAAGGGCACAGGCAATTTTGTCCCTGCCGCTGGACTGGATACTCAGAGACTGTGCAGGAGCCACAGGCTCAGCTGGAAGAGTCTGGTTACAGTGCACATGGGCTGTGAGGTGTAAAAGCTCAGGGATTCTTTTGTTTGGGGTTCCTCCCCAAAGGCACCAATTTGAGCTGTTATACTGTCACGTCACCGTGATTAGAGGAACCAGATATCTGTGACTTTGCTATGGGAAACATGCGGTCAAGCTGGAAAGGGAAAATTTTCTGACTGTGAGAGTGGGGTGAGTAGGGAGGGAAAGGGGGACTGGGTCCCCCTGGGTCCTTGGAGCTGCCTGTGGTGAAGGGGCTTCAGTCCCAGCAGTGAAAGTCTGGGGTGGCACGAGTGTGACCCCCGCAGACTGTGCCATGAATGGTCACACTGGGATGTTTCCTTAAGATGCATGTCATTCGCTAGTTTTATATGCAGTGGTTTTCAAATTGTTCCATATATAACATTATATCCAGCTCAAATCTTACTCTGACATTTCTAAAAAGCCTGGAACACATTCAGGTTTTAATAGGTTTTAAAATTATTTCCTTATTATAGGCGAAAAGGAAGAAAGGAAAAAAGTTAGATGAAATTATAAACTTCATTTACAAAATTCTTATTATGAAACATTTGATACAGCTGTCATAGGTCAGAAAACAGTAGAAACTTTTAACTGGAAATTACAGAGACTATTCCTCACCTTCCCGAGTCCGATTCAAGGGGGTCATCATTAACAGAGTCTGCATTAAAATCCAAAGGTTCTGCATCCTGAAGGAGTTCTATTCTATCTCTTTCAGTCCTACCATTTGAACGGGTATACTTTGATAGTGCTGGAAAGTGAAAGGAGTGAAAGAGACTTATTTGCTTTGTGAACAGCCTGGAGGGTATGGAGACATCAAATTTTAAAAACCATTATGAATAAAAAAGCAATCTCATCCACAGCAAAAGTGCAATGATTTAGAGTAAATTTAATAATAGACTAAACTTGCTCAAACTTGTAGTATTTCAATTTTGTATCTCCAAAGAAATACAACTACAACTTTTGCCCCTCCAAGAGGTTGAGATCTACCTTGCAAAGAATCAAGGAAAATAAGAAACCACTGGCAAGCATTACTTTAAAATCATCCATTCATCCTCCCAGCTTCATGCTTTAACTAAGCTGTTCAGACCGTTTTTTTGATTTTTTAAAAAACAAAAACAAACAATCTCATGAGTTGTTTTGCAGTTTACTCTGTGACCTTCACTATGTCAGTACCTATGTCTTGTTTTAGAGCTGGAATGCTACATAATCACATGATGAATTAGAATGCAACTGCAGTTAGTCTACCACTAAAAATTTGCAACTTTGTACAGAGGAGAGAGAAATCTACCAGTGTTTTCTTAAAAGCATATTCAAAGCTTTCCTCCTCCCCTTTTTCCTCCTTTTTCTTCAGTTTCATTTTATTTGCTGTTAGCTTACAAGAGCACAAAAAATACAGAAAAAAACATTCACATTCTGACAAACTTTTCTGAAGTCTAAAGCATTCAAAAAAAAAAAGTATTTTGCTAATAGACATTATTAAATGAAGGTATATACACTTATGTGATGTTACATTTGTTGGTCATCTGATTGCTCCATTATTCCAGTCTGAGACAGCTCACTTGCAAGCAGAAGAGGTAAATTTTAAGATTTACAACACCCAACTTCAAGATGTATAATGAAGTTTTTTTGTTGACAACTGCTACTCTAATGGCAATCATTATATATCACATAAGACCAAGTAATTGGTCTGAAGAATAGTAAGAATCTCTGATCCCAACTAGTTGGAGATGGAATGAAATACAGTACTCTTTTGAGTGCCTTAAATGGCAAGGCAACGCTGAGCCACAGAAGTAAACATTATCAGCACAGCATCTAAGACAAAAAGAATATTTGAAACTACTTTCACATCCAGTGCTGTGAAGAAAATGTACTGAAACAAAACAAAACGAACTTCCCTCCAACCCAAAAAGCTTACATCTATTGGCATTGGTCTCTGAGAAGCTGGATTCTTTCTGGTCTGTGTGGACAGCTCTGCTTCTGGTGGAATCATCTCTATTTCCATACCGTTCCTTCCATTCCTGGAAAAACACCACCAAGAAAAATGTAAGTTGGGAGGAAAATGGAACACAGTAACAGTTCAGTATCTAAATACAGGAAGAATTTTTGTTTCATTTTAAACTCAAAATGTGTTCCTTCACTAAACCAGTTATCATAATTGTTCTTAAGAAAAAGACTTATAAAAGAAATTGTATCTCAAATCTGCTCTCGAAGTTCAGCCAGCTGCTCTAAGTTGGTGGGAACGGCTGCTTTCTTTGATCACTACTTCCATCTAGTGGCAAAAAGGAAAAATAACAAGATGCACATAGCACAGATAAATTTGTAGCTTAGTGTCAGGTCATTTCACTGTATATTAAATGTATCATACACTTGCTATTTTGCTTCCCAACAAGTTCAAAGTTTTAAAACTACAAGGCGGAGGGAAAGGATCTGTCCTAGGGTGACGTTATGATGCCTGTATTCCCAACTGTGTGTTCTGTTTATGCTGGATATTATATTCTGTGCTTTCGAGACTGGCTCTGAGAGTGAACGCAGGGAGAAGAAGCACAGAGTTTGTGATCAGCGACTGCACATTCAGCGCGACTGTGTTGCTCTGTTGTTGAGCAGAACAGGCTCTCCTTTGCTTTTTAGTTAGTTTAGCTGGCTGAGGCAGAGAAGTCCCCTGCACTGCTTTTCTTTCCCTTTTCCTGGAACCATTCAAAGCTGCTCCGGAGCGGGTCCCGGAGCACCGGGAGCTCGCAGCTGCGGCCAGCGGGGCCTGCTCTGGGCAGCGGCCTTTCCCAGCGCCGGGGGGACTGACAACAGAGCGACCCCCCAGGAGAGACCTTCTGAATTTCTCGTCTCTTCAGAGCAGTGGGTGAGTTTTGTCAGCTGGTGTTGTTCATTTTGTGTGCTGGGGAGTGCTTGACCTGTTAAATAAACAGGTTTTTTATACTTCTCTCTGATGCAATTTTTCCCAAACCAGTTGTGGGGAGGGGCCGTGTAGGTTTGCTTTCTGGGGGGGCCCCTTTTGGAGATTTTCTCCCAAATTTGCCCTAAACCAGGACAGGATCAAAAGAAAGGTCTATGCAGTACTGGCTGTCATCTAGGATTCAATTATACATGACCTTGGAAAACCAAGAGGTTTTAGTCCCAGTACTGTCTTGCATCCATCCTTTCTCTCATCTACCTTTTATTGTGACTTTCTAGCCTAGCTTTTGTTATAAACTAGTGAAACACTACAGCTTCACAAATCATTCAATACAATATGCGCAGAAAACATGACTTTAATAAAACATTTTGTTTGTTATTCAGTGGAAACTGTTAATTCTGTCTTAAATGTAATTCCCTCCTCTGGCAAAAAATAAAATAGAACCTGTGCCTATGACTTTCCAACCAGCACACAAAACAATAAATTTGGGAGGGGTCCACATTTCAGTATGACAACTCTGCAACTGCAGTTATTTCAAGCAGAGCAGTATCAGTATAAGAGACTGGTAATATGCCATTTTAGATTATTCTGTATCCTAGTAATCAGGGTCGTTTTTAATGCTTGTTGTACCTACTGGCATACACCACAGCATCACTGAGTAAGAGTAGTGTCCAAGTAGTGTCATTAAAATTGTCCTCTAACCTTCCATAAATAACTCCTAATCAAGACTATTCAGCAAGATTAAACTGATTCCATAAATTATTTGGGACTCTTTTTTTGTGAAATAGGTAATTCTGAATTAAATATCCATGATAAATCCTATCAAATATTGCAGTATAATGTTATAATTAGCCAAACAAATCTCATACCCTTCTTCTGTTTTCACCTTCCTCCTGCCTCTGTCGTTTTCTTTTCTCTAAAAATGAAAAAAGAACTTTGTCTGAGCACCATATATGGAAAATCATTAGCATTTAAAAAAAATAAACAATGAAAATCCGAAGTTAACTAATGACGATTCTTATGGAAATACATGACTTCTACAATTAAACAAAAACAAAACAAAAAGCTGCTTGTCTATTATTATGAAATTTCCCATCAAAATTATTTTGTCATGATGGTATCTTGGATCACAGCATAACATTTGGATTCCAGCTGTCAAAGCAAAAAAAAAAAAAAAGAAGAAAAAAAATCAAACAAACCCTTAGAAATAATTGGGAAAGTATGATATTAAGAAAAAGAAATGAAGAAAAATCTTCAGCATTCTTGAATCAAAAACTTCATGAAGTTCTGTGAGGCCCAACTACTTTGGGTTCCCAATTACCCTGTGACCCAATTACTTTGTGTCCTATCTGTTATAAAGCTGGAAGTATAACATCACATATCAATGTCATCATCACCTCTTATTTAAGGGAATGAAATTTTGGTCTTTCTCCAAAAAAAACCATACTACTATGAGTAAACCCAGGTTTTGTTTTTCACCACCTGTGGGAATAAAGGTATTCCATAATATAACACTGTATCCAGAAATTTCAATTTCTAAACATTTACTCAAAAATTACAATGGCTTTTTGCAACTTTTAAGAAATACTTTCAATAAAAATTAATGCAAAATAAAAAGCTTTCCATACCAGCAGGTGATTCCAGTTCTACATAAAAATCATGCGTTCTCTAATTAAACACAGCTGTTGACACAGCAAAAAAGACTGAAGGAAATGACTGAATTTGTGTAGCTCAATCAACACACAAAAAAAGATTAGTTTGTTGATGATAAAGACAATGTAAATGCTAACCATCCTTTATGACAGACTACACAAGGACCTGCTAAGGTATTATTTGTTCAGTAACACACTGTAAAATATTTAGAAATATCTAAAATTCAGACACTGGATGAGTAAAACTGGTACCTCATTTAAAATGTCAATGAAGTCCATCAGCGGACTTTACATAGTGACCGCATTGCTCTAAGTTTATTGCAGTTTGTGCTGTGGCGTTCCTCAGTACAGCTTTCAAAATACTGACAGACAGCATACTTTTTTTTTTTTTTTTTCCTGCAACATTTGAGACAAATATAATCCAAAAACATGCTATATAATGAGGAAAAGATTGAAGTACTTAATGTATTCTTTGCCCAGTCTTTAAGACTGAGACCAGTTACTGTCTGAGTACCAGGTTCCCTGAGCTGGAAGGCAGGGACGGGAAACAGAATAAAGTCCCCAAAATCCAAGAGGATATGATCAGTGACCTGCTACACTGCGTGGACAGACACAGGTCTGTGGGGCCAGATGGTATCAGCCCAAAAGAACAGAGGGAGCTGGTCAAAATGCTCACCAAACCACTTTCCTTTAAATTTTCAATTGGGTCACAACAACCCCATGCAGTGCTAAAGGCTTGGGGCAGAGCAGTTGGAAAGCAGCCTGTTGGAAAAGGACCGGGTAGTGCTGACTGACAGTGGCTGAGCATAAGCCAGGCTGTGCCCAGGTGGCCAAGAAAGCCAATGGCATCTGGCTTGGATCAGCAATGGTGTGGCCAGCAGGGCCAGGGCAGTGACTGTCCCTCTGTGCTGGATAGTGGAGAGGCCAAATTTCAAATCCTGTGTCCAGTTCTGGGCCCCTCAATTCAGCAAAAATATTGAGGTGCTGGAGTGAGTCCAGAGAAGGGCAGTGGAGCTGGGGAAGGGTCTGGAGCATGAATCTGATGAGGAACAAGGTGGAGTCGTTTAGCCTGGAAAAGAGCAGGCTCAGGGGAGAGCTTATCACTTAACAACTCCTTAATAAGAGGGTGTAGTGGGTAGGGGTTTGTCTCCCAAGTAACAAACAACAGGATAAGAGGGAATGGCCTGAAGTTGTGCTACGAAGTTTGGATATTGGGAAAAAATTCTTCACTGAAAGGGTTGTCAGACATTGGAATATGCTGCTCAGGGAAGTCTTGAGTCACCATCCTTGGAGATATTTAAAAGATGTGCAGGTGTAGCATTTGTGGACATAGTTCAGTGGTGAACTTGTCAGTGTTGGATTAAGGGTTGGACTCGGTCTTAGAGGTCTTTTCCAGCCTTGATGAATCTATGGTAGTATGATTTTACAGGGAGATTATGACAGAAGACCTAATTTACCTCTTCTGATTAGCTCTTTTCCTTCATCAATCAAATCAGAGGTCATTTCACTATCACCCATGAACTGCTGGAATCCCAAAAGATTCAAACAACGAGTTCCTAAACTGGTAAAAGAAGAAGCAATTTCCTTTTTTAATTTACAATTAGTAGTTTAGATACATTACAGAACAAAATGTAAAACAAACTATTCAGAACTGTATGAACAATCCAAGTAAGAAGGAAAAACAAAGAAGAAAAGATAGATTATTACACCAGCTGAGAAAACAGAAAATTCAGAACTCAGAACAATAACTGGTGACCCAGAACAGCAGGATGACCTAGGTGACCCAGAACAGTAACACACTCCTAAATACAATTGGAAGTGATAGAATAACCCTATTCAAACAGACATTAAAATGAATATAGTCTGAGAGTAGTGCAAATGACACTTGCTTTAAATGCGTCTAACATTAGACGCTTGCTTTAAATGTTCTCAGATACAACAGAATTTGTACCTATAATATGTCATCAACTCTTCTTTGCCAGAAGACAATTACTATAGAAATTCTCCTTATTCTAATTTCTCTGTTTTTGAAACAGTAATAACACAGGAAATCCACTTTCACCTCAGGGTTTCACTCAGGAGAATGTGTACTGCATACTTCTAAGCAGTAGGGATGCTGGCTGCCCTTCTGGATAGCCATTGGCTGCAGTCAGATAGCAAGCTTGCTCCACCTTTTTAAAGCCAGTCCTGGAACTACATAGCATGAATCACTTTCATCTTTTCAACTTCACAACAGAAAACACAACTGCTGTTTTAGTACTGTTTTCCTTCCTCCAAACTGGAGTATTGATATATTTTTTCCTTATACTACCTTAACTTTAAGACTGCTGGATTAAGCACAGGAGACTCAGCTTTCCTCAACAGATTTTAATTCAACCTTTGTTTTTGCATCGATCTTTACTAGCAGAGGTCATTAAAGCAACCCTCTCTCCTTTAATTTCTATTCTTCCTTTTCACTTTGGCATTCAAGGCCCAGGATGATCATGATGGACAAGAGGTCAAACTTCTCTTTTCTTACCATTTGCTTTCCTGTTTGTTGTTTGTTTGTTTTGTTTTGTTTGTTTTCTAGCTCCACAACCACTTTTGTCACTTAACTTTAAGGTAAGCAGGGAAAAGGCACACCTAGATACTTGTTACTTACTATCTGTAGATACACATACAATATTAATGGATATCCAAGGTATTTCACTACATTGTACTTGACTGAAAACACAGAGATTGCTTCTGACTGAATGGTAATGCAGAATTGAAGACATTAACATAAATGTGTATTTCAGCAAGATCAGACTAAAAGTATCTCATCCCTTACAGCAATCAAAAGCAGACATTTTGAAAGTGTAAAGCAAGAATGTACCAATGTTTTTCACTATTACCCTTCCAGCCTCCAACAAACTGTGATTTAGGGAAAAAAGATCAAATTACTTAATCCAGTATGTGTTACCAGAAGTCTGGTAACACATCAGAAACTTGATATGAGTCTGTTAGGAAGCTCAATATCTAAAACTGCTGCTAGTGGTCCTTAATTTATTAGAAAACTTTGCTGAAAACAGCTTGCTCATGATAATTTTAATCTCAAAAGCACAATCTAAATGTCCCCAGGCTCCAAAGTTTGAACAGATCATGACTTAAAATCTAGGAATGAAGTTTAAATTAACTCAGTTATGAATTAATCCATCTGTATTTTTAAAATGCACACATTTCACCTATATAAATAGCAATGTGTGGATTTAGGTTTTGCATTTTTGTTAGAATGACACAACTCTGCTGAAAAAGGAGTACTGAATCTCTTCCTGAATTAGATGAAACTAGTTTTATAATGTAAAGAAGCATGCAGGATCTATCTTGCAAATCACTTACCTGAAGTATGTAGCAATACAGAGAATAACAACAAGCATTGGGTAGTATATATAGAATCCATCTGCAATGAAGGACAGCACTCTCATGGATCCCATTATCTAGGGAAAAAAACCCACAAGAACAAGCTCTAATTAGCTATACCCTACATAAACCCATGAAGATTGTGCCTTCTCACAAATACACAATCCTTTGTAGTAACTGAAACAAAAGCAATATTATCACAGATCTGCCTGAGAATAAGCAGATGAAAAGGTCACCTCCAGCACTCTGAGGTTTCTAAAATGCTAGACATTGTAGTCTCACTCACTCTAGAACAAGGGCAAATCTGGTGGATTTTTTTCATCTGCTGTGAAAAGAGTCTCTAGACAACACAAAGAATCTAGTTACTAACAAAAAAGACATGAGATATAACTTGCCACAGAAACCAGGTCTTCAATAAAACCAAACTCACTGGTTTTCAATAGGAAGTTAGGACTGTTCCCTATCTATAGGAATGCCCTACATGCTAAAGCCACTAAAAGCTAAAACAATAGGGATTGATATTAGGAAATTAAGAACACCCTGAACTCTAATGTACAAGACTTTATTTTCTTAAGATAAAGAGGGGAAAAAAAAAGCTATGGATGACTTCTAGAAATCATTAGCAAACTTCTTGCCTATAATGAAGTATTTTTTTACCCTGTTGGAAAAACTGAAAAGATTTGAATATCTGAATTTTACTATAAGATGTATTTAAAAATACTCTGTCTATTCTCCAAACCATATTGAAAGCTCAAACCCGTATTTTCTTACTTACAGATGTATAAGCAGTTGGCTGAGTCTTTTTGTGAGAGATTGTTGCATCCATATGGGTCAAGCCCAGAAAGTTCAAGCACAATGGTGGAGTAAGACGGCAAAATAACCTGCACAAATGCAAGAGGCAACAGCATTTAAAAGAGTTTCTTACATAACCTACAAAATTGTAACTGGATCTATCATAGAACAACGATGTAAAGCTCATTAGGAATTATATCCATAAATTACAAATTAAAGAATGTAAATTAAAGTTTCATGGACATTTTCAATTCAGTATTTGAATGGAACACCTGTAAAACATATACCAAATACTCACATGCCACTGAAAAGGAGACTGTATGCATCTGTCTGATGATGTGAAGCTAAGTAATAATAGTTAAATACACGGATCCTGAAGACAGTAGAGTAAACACAGATACTTAAGAAAAAGATGGTAAGAAAACAGGCCATCTAGGGGGAAAAAAAAGTGTTGTTAAGTTGCTTAAATGCAGCATTCTTCTAAAGGTTTTAATGTGTTCAGCAGATAGCCTGTCACATGCAGAGACCATCTCCAGCCTTTATTTTTCATTTTTCACCAACTCTGCGAAGAGTTTTGGGAAACTCTATTTACACCGGAAATTCTAATTAGAACATTCTACACATAAGCTAACACAGCTGACCCCAGAAACATTCTACTACTTCTTGTTAATGTAAATAAAATTGCTGTAATTGCCTCAAGAATTACCATGACTGAGGTGGCATTTACTCCCACAAAAAAAGGCATAAACCCAAGTGTTTTCAAATCAGCCTTTGCTAAGTATACTGGAATTTTTCAGCTCAATATCTTTACTGATAAATTTGTGCACACATATGCTAGCCACACCTTTGACTGGATTCCTGGTCATTCGCAAATTCCTGTTTAGGAAACTGAGGTCACACAAATGGATTTTTAGACAGAAAGTCTAATTAACACCTATCTTCCAACCCAGTGTTTCAGAAATTACTCTACATGATATTCGGGCCAGCTGGGTCATGCCTTCACCTGGCATTTGAGAGTTTTAACAAGCGGCAAAAGCAGACTTCCTCCACACAAACTAAGTTTGGTACCACATACTTAGAGACCTTCTGAAAGTTGACAGATTATTTAGAGATTTATTTTTAATTCTATTTTATCTACTGCTGTTATCACAACCATTGATCTGAAAATATTTTTTTCAAGTGATTATCTCCAACTTACCTCTATGTATATATAATTATATGTCTTCTCTGCCAGCTGTATGAAAACCGCAAATAGTGACAGAACTGGTTTTGTGCTGAAGAATGTGCACTCTGACCACACAACTATTACAGAGAACGTGGCCAGCACAACTGCAAGCACTCTGTAAAACCATGGTCGGAGAAGGCACTCCCAGTACCACTCTGGAAAAAATAAACACACATATGTATCCAGAACAGGTTAATGAAAATTATACAACCAGAAACAGAACTCTTTCACAAAAGGCTTCCAAGTTTGCTGTTGCTTTATTGCGACACATAACTGCTACTGAATTTGTAAATAAAATTGAGGCTTATGGCCAAGAGCATAAATTATTATCTGACAGCTCTTCCATTACATAAATACATCAATATTGCGGACTTGCTTCACTCTGCTGCAGCTGAACTTTTTACATAAAACAATTGGTTCTTGTTACAGAATGGTATCAGTTATGCCTTAACATACCTAAAACCTGCATGACAGCACTTACCAACCGTTGGCGTGTAGAAATACTGAATAATTTTATTTTCTGGTTCCTGGGAATGAAAGGTATGAACAAACTGTCGAGTTGCACTGCTTTCATTTTTTGCCACATCTTCCAGGTAAAATGCTTGCTCTAGAAGAATTTGCCACTGGACCTGTGTACGACGATGTCTCTGCACTGAATAGATTACCTACAATAAATTGCAAGAAATTAGGGTTTCAAGGTAATTGTTTCAAAAAATGGTGGAAAATCCTTGCAAAATCCCTTGAAAATGTGTGCATTGCAGAACTGCAAAGACTGTACCTTCAAAAAAGCAGGTAGGTAATTCTCTAAAATACATAAATCATGGAAGTACTACATACAGGATTAATGAGTTTTGCAGCCCATTCATCACAAACCATCCTTAGCAGTTAAATCCTACTTTTCCCAACCTACCACTTTTTTTTTGCATCTCAGTAAATATCAAGCTTTTACTGTAATTTCTTTTTCAGAATGCACTGTCAGTCAACCACAAGGCTTATTCACAGACAGCTATAAAACTGTAAAGATACAACACAAGAACACTTTTACACATCCAGAACTTTGATCACTTGGGATATTAAATGTCTGTGCTTTCCCTCACCAAAAAAAGTTTCTGTTAAGTAGCATAAACCCACTGTACTCAACAGTCCAGATGAAGTGCATTCAAAATCTTTGACCAGCATTTACTCTCACTACAATAGCATAAGTGAGGCACTCTCCCATCTGTTAATATACCTGCTTGTGAAGTTTGGCCAAACTTTTTTCACTGGGATAACTGTTCTGTCTTTCATCAAAATCTTCATAATCATCCATGTTCCTGCCCATTCTTTCCTGGTACTCAGTAGGGCACTGGAAGGAAAAGGGAAAATTAAGTGGGAGACAAAAGAGTAGCAAGCAGCTTTTATTTGTAAAAGTTTGGGCCATTTCATGCAACTGAAAAGCTCACTCTAAGCTTTTCTCTCTTTCTACAATGCTACATCAAAATACATCTGATAATTCCATACGTCACAAGGAAATATTTCACAGTCTCAACAGAAACTCAGAAGATGTCAACCAGAGATTTTATACTAAGAGCAAAAGAAAGTAATGTACAAGTATTCTGTATATGCAAGAAGCACCTCCTCCCAACTGAATAATTATGGTTGAAGATAAACAGCTGGTTACCTTTTTCAGTATTGTATCAACACATTTCCTCAAAGGGTGGTTATATTTGATACTCTCACTTACTTTACGGACTTCCTGTTGAGAGAAAAAATAACAGAGTAGTTTAATTATGCCATATTAAAAATGTCAATTAAAAATTTTTTCATTAACTATAAATTTTTACTGGTCAATTAGAGTTGCAGCCCTCCCAACAGACAGCCATCAAAGCTTAAAAAAAAATACAGATTCCTAAAAGCCATAGTTTTACTAAATATCTCACAAAAGGTATGAGAAAAGATAGTATTTGTAAAGAAAAGTGAAGTATTTGTAAAGAACACTTCTGTGGTTTTTTTTAAAAAGAACAGCAGTGTACAAATATGCAACTATATAAATGCATGGAGGATTGGCTTCTATGCATGAAGGCTGAAATGGAAAAGACTTTCTTCTTTTACTTACAGATAAAACAGACATAAAGAGTAAGTCCCACTGACTGATTCAGGACACTGACCACCACTTTAGGAAGCCAATTCCAGTGTGAGACTATCCACGCCCCTTGTGGTAAGGAACTGCTTCCTGATGTCCAGTCTGGACCTCTCTGGACACAGCTCTGAAGCACCCCCATGCATCCTGTCACTGGCTACCAGAGAAAAGAGATCAGCATCTCCCTCTCCAGGCATCTGAACAATGCTCTCAGCAATTTGCTTCAACTTTTGGTCAGCTCTAAAGTGCTCAGACAGCTGCATCAGATGACTGTTGTTGGTCCCCTCCAGTGGAAATATTCTATCTGTTTTAAGTGCTATCCTGGTAAAACAGGGTCGTCATTGCTCATTTTCCAGGAAGTTTTGTAGTTATGTCTCCCTTAGAGGTTTTTAACTATTTTAGTAGTTTCTTCAAAATGCTGTTACGGATTAATGAAGATTCTATTACTGTTATGTGATTAAGAGTCTATTTGTGTTATGTGTCAGCACACATAACAAAAATTTCCACCCTATCCTACAACAGTTCACACATATTATTCCAAGCCATGGTATCCCAGCAAAAGAACCAGGAATAGCTATTCAAAGGGCTAGATTTCCATTCTGTTCGTGAACTGCATTAGAGCCTACTGCTCACTGATATTTAACAACAGAGTCTCAAAAGAAACTTTGAAAGAAACAATTATCTGTATATTGTCTTCTCAAGGGGCATGTAATTGTGGCCCCACAATTTGGAAATTCTTCTCAAGGTTCTAAAAATACACTGTGAGCAGAACATAAAAGTATACAATTTTAACACTAGTGAAACATTTATACACTGCCTGTTCAAGTTCACTCCGAAATGTTATTTGCTAGTGACCAGTACTACTCCAAAAGTGTCAGTAAAAGAATAGACTCATCAAATAATGGTTATCAAGTTGCTATGACTTTTAAGTTCGTCACGGCAAGGACTACTTCTGTTTTGACTTCTGCACAGGATTGAGTGTTATAAAGTGGCACACTATGATAATTTTCTTAGTTTACAGATATTTCACAGTAAGCTCACATTACAAGTGTCCAACACCAACGAATTTAGACACAACTAACAGCAGCCTTCACTTTTTTCCACAGGTAAAACTAGTTACTTACCTCCATAATATCCTCTAAATTCTCCTCTGCATCTGCTTTTTCAGTCATCAGTTTGGCAGCTTTGAAGTAAGTCTTCATGAGAAGATAACCCCTCTTGGCCCCATTCCAGTGAGAACGAGGGATTTCCACCAAACCATAACCCAAAAGCAAAACAAGAAGGAACAGACCCCATGTGTTTGCAGCAGCTATTCCAATAGTCTGAAGCTGGTTCCTAAGGAAATAAAACAGTATAAAAAACTCAAACAAACAACACTCTCCTATCCTGGCTGCAAGAAACCAGCCTTGAGGTATCAATATGTACCAATACAGCTTTCAGGTTTACAGGAACAGACTCTGGTATCACCTAGATTTTTGCCTGGAGCCAGACTGCTGCTTGGCTATATTTAAACTTGCCACAATTTTCCTGTATCTCCTGTTCTACCCACTGTGGGTGGCAGATAAGAATTTATTTGTTGTTCTCAAAGAAACTGTTCCCCTAAAGGAATATGTTCCCTTAGGAAACAACATGAACTTACCAAACCTACTGACAGTGAGGTCAAAATAGCATAATGGCAGTCACTGTAAGATACAAACTCAGAACCCAAGATTTGTATTCAGAATATTGTGTTCAGAAATTTGTATTCAGATTTCTATTCCATCTGGTATGGAAGACTATAAGAAATTTATAGATGCCAATTATTTTAACTTTCCTTTTCATCTTTAAAGTCTGCAGTATTTAGATGCACTACACAGGAAATACAGATTTTTTGAAATATATTGTTCTGAAAACACTGCAAGTTTCTGTACTAACTTTGCAAATGTGTTTGTATGGAGAAAAAAAGTAGCATTGTAAATACAAGAGGATTCCTCTGCTGTACATACCAAAATCAGAAAAACCAACCCCAAGTTTCTATAAATATTCAAAAAAGCCCCTTTCATATAAAAAGATAACATAATTTTCTAACCGACTAGCAAAATACTGTAACTAAAACTAGTTTTTTTCAGAAAGACACATTTCGTCCACAGAAGAAATAATCCATGACAATTCTGTAAGAACTAATGGAAATGTTTACAACATTATTCTTACCATTGTAAATTGAAGTTTGGGTTTACAGCCACATATATTAGAAATGCTCCAAAAATCAGCAAGTAAGTGCCATAATAGATGGCATTCTCAATCAAAGCAGTTTTTATCTTTCCAGTGATGGAGAACCCTCCTGATCTAGCATATGACTGCATGAAAGGTAGCAGAATCCTAGGGGAAAAGGAAACAAAACAAAACCACATCAGCCAATCAAAAAAAAAAAAAAAAAAAAAAAAAAAAAAAAAAAAAAAAAAAAAAAAAAAACCCACCAACCCCCACCAAAAAAATCTCCCAAACACCCAAACCACCAACCTCCCCAAAAAAGAACTTTAGCAGTGTCAGGTTACTGAGGCAGGGGTGTTAAAGTTTAAGATTCCCAAGCTTCTAAGAAATTAGCTACTTAGATGTTTTTATTCTAGATGTACCTGTCTGATGGCAAACCTTACACAAGCTGCAGATAAAAACAATACAGTTAGCTTTGCTATGAAAAAATCTGTGATAAATAAGAATGAACTAGCAACCCTGATATCCCTGAAACTACAAAAATAATTATTTGATAACAGGTTGATCAGAAACAGCACAAAGCACAGACAACCCAAAACCCCATAGACAAATCTTTCTTCTGTAGCCAGAGCTAAAGCTTTATACAATATATCTGATAAAACTGACTAATTTACTATATCACTTAAAAATCACCCAAATTATTCATGGAATTATTTTGGTATCTGGTTGCCTAAAACACATTTTTTTCAGTCAATCTATCTGTAAGCACCTACACGTATAAATTGCTTAGCTTCAACTACAAAAGTGAACCAAGGATAAATGGCTGCCACCTGAAAGTTGCTTCCACAGAAGCAAGAAAAAAAAAAAAAGAATATTACTAAATTAGTATAGTAATTATTATCAAAAATTTCACTAATAGAAAATAATATACAATTTAAAAGCTCTTTGCCATACTGATATACATTTTTAAAGAATGTTATTACTGTTAAGATGGTCCATTTAAAAACTGCATCATACTCTTCGCAATATTCTTTTGCCTTACTTACCATGTTAAAAACTGAGATGTCCAATATACAACACGCCAGAAAATTGGCATAATTCCATCAGGAATATAACTCCATGGTTTGAAACATTTTTGCTTGCTGTTACAATGTAAAGAAGACTATTGTTAGTTGTAGAGCCCTGAGTATAAAAAGCAACTTCTATAAATTCCTATCTAGAAAGCTTTTTGAAAAGAACATAGAAGTAGTACAATACTATTCAAGTACATAGTCAACAATCAACCATCTCCCAAATAAATAAACTGAATAATCATTAGAAATATTTATCATTTTCCTAACCACAAATAATGTATTTGGACAGGACATCTTCATTAGACAAAAAAACCCAGAAATTGCAAGACTGAATAGGACTATTCAATAAAGCATTTTCAGGTTACAGTTCTTGGTTTTCAGTAGTAATTATTTCATGCATAGAAAGAATACTTGTTTAAACAGAGAAGCATTAAATTTTAGTTAGTGCAGGTTCTTAAAAAATATCTAGGCATATCATCATCTAGAGCACTTAGTCACACAAAGAACATATTAGTTGCTTCTTCTACTACCCAGCTGGATTGAATCAGTCTTATATAAATTTTGATTCAATAAGCCAATACTCTTCTGACAGGTAGTGTTCACTACAGAAGACAGAAAAGTTCTATGAGCCCTTTTAAGAAAAAGAAAAGAAAAAAAAAAAAAGAACAAAGGAAAAGGTGTCCATCTAAACTAAGGTAGTTTGTTTTTTTCCCACACACCTGTATGGGCAATGAAGCAAGGGTGAGTCAAGGGGCAATAAAGTCAACTTAGATGAGATTACCTAACGAGAAATAATTGGTATTTTCCAGGGTCAAACTAGTTAGGCCTGAGTCGTAAGTTTTTATGTGCATGGCCTAAATATTTTCAAAACTATCAACTTAAGATAGAATGACAGGTAGTATGACTAAACTATGACAGGCTGAGAGAGCAGGGGCTGTTCAGCCTGGAGAAGAGAAGGTGCCAGGAGAACTTACAGCACCTTCTAGTACCTAAAGGAGGTTTACAAAAAGAAAGGAAATGGACTTTTTATATGGGCAAAGTGACAGGACATGGAGCAACGGTTTTCAACTGACAGAGGGCAAGTTTAAATTAGAGACTTAGAAGAAATTCTTTACTGCGATGGTGGTGAGGCACTGGCACAGGCTGCCCAGAGAAGCTGTGGATGCCCCAGCCCTGACAGTGTTCAAGGCCAGGCTGGATGGAGCAACCTGGCCTAGTGGAAGATGTCCCTGCCCCTGGAAGAAGACTGGAACTGGATAATATTTAAGGTCCCTCCCAACCCAAACCATTCTGTGATTCTAAAGAAATAAGTTTGTCTGAAGCTATAGATAAATTGAAAGGTTACTGAATAGTTTTCAAATTGTGTATATAATTAAATAGGTTTAATTAACATCCACTGGGTGGTCTTAAGTATAGGGTGCAATATTGTGTGACTGTCATTTCACCATTCTTCCAGGCCCCTCTTTGGGGCAGCAAGACTGGCAAGACTTTGCACAGACATGTCAGCTGATATCTTAAAGGCTCAGATCATCTTACAGATAACTACACTGCACACATCAGAAACACGGGCAACAGCCAGTGTAGGATAACGGAGGAGCAGCCATGGAATAAGCCCACCTTAGTCTACTTCTCCATGGTTAGGGATTACTTTCTTCCTGCCACGACACACCTGCCATTACTTTGGTGGAATACCGTGCATTTCAGATAACTGCAATTACCATATATATGTAATTATAAGAAGCAATTAGATACGCCCCTGACATATAAGACAAGCAGCTGATTTAATTCATATCGTATAAATGAAAGGTATAAAATTAGATTGTGAGGTTTAAAGTCTTTATGATTGTAAAGGATAAGCATTCATCAAAGCCTCTCCTCATAACCAAGATTGCTCAAAAAGCTTAGTCTTGTTGCTTTAACAAAAAAAAGGAAATCTAGTGATATAAAAAAGGATAGCTGGGTAAGCACCTAGAACTACTACATAATTACTATGTAATTACTCCCAGCAGGTAAAGATCCACTTTTCATCACCTTTTCCCTCACTGTCCTGTGTATTTAAAAACTTATTCATCAGTGTTAAAAACACAATATGCTATCAATTAAAAAAAGAAAATCATAAAATACAGTCTATAGAAAAAAACATGTAGTTCATACCTTGGAGCAAGAGTAACGTAAGAGCCATTGCTTTCTGCAGGACTGGAGTTAACCGCAAGCTTGCATCGATTATAAATAGTCTAAAAGACAATTTATTTTATATCAGTGACCAAAGAGGTATAATACTTATTTAAAAGTAGTAAGTCCTATTTTAAAGACATTTACTGTACTCCAGGTTTACATTTGGAATTAATTATACCAATAAACATTCAAATCAACATGCAATCAGCAGTCAAGTAAGTAAAATGCTGAAAGTGTCCTTATGCTGCCTAAACAGATAAAAAAATTGTTACAAACAAATGATGAAATTTTAAAATTTCATTCATTTATTTTGAAATAAATTTGTTATCTGATGAGACCAACAAAAAGTAAAATTAATTATGAACACAAGGCATTGTCATGTTTAATTTATTAAGATATTACATAGAAGATTTCTTTGGTATTTCTAAGAGGTGGTCTCCTGCAATCATTAATTTAGAGAAATACCATAAACATTTGATGCAATTAAGCAGGAAGTCCTGCACGTTTCTTACCGTACTGACATCCAGAGGCAGTATGAATACAATCAGGAAGCAGAGATACCAAGCCAATAATGTTGCTATGATCACCAGCCTATGCTGTTTCTTGAAGTCTCCATACCGGTGAAGTAGGAATAAGGCCAGGAAAAATACAAACACTATCTCAAGGCCCAACGCTGCACCACTCATTGTTAAATGCTGGCCTCGGCCACACCACACTCACTTGGGAAAGCAGATCAGAACTGCATGGCAAAAAGACATTAATTACATTAAAATCTCCGAAAGATATTTACACAAAGAGTTGTTCAGTGGACACTTCAAAACATATTAACAAACTTTACATATTTCACGTGACCTGATAAGGATTCTTATCAAACAAAACTAAAGATTTTCAGCAAGATGTCCTGAAGTCCTCTGAAGAAATCAAAACATGCCATTTCAATGCTGTTGTTTCCAGCAACGTATCAGGAGAACTCCTGTTCATCATCCTGATATACAATAGATCCAGGAGGCAAATCTCTGTCCTTAAATAGACTACTAGCCCAACTTTATGTCCAGGACAAATTTCAAGATGAAAATCTATTCTGCTCTTTTTCTCTCCCTTCAGAAGCAATCAACTAATTTTTTAAAAGGGTTAAATGTTTACATTAAATGTTTCTGGATAGCTAATGAACAACATTTTAATGGAGTGTACCTCAAATACATATTTAAAATCCATACATAAGAGTTAACAGAGCATAAAAACACAGCAAAGAATGTGTTAGTCTACTTGTAATGCACCTCTTTGAGGTCTGAAATTTCAAGAATTTCAATTCACCTTCCTACTCCTCGGGCGCTATTCAGACAAATAAGGATCTCAATTCATTGGGTACAGTTTGCCATGATGTATTTTTGCTTTGCTTGTCCTTCTGTGTTTAATTACTCTGTTACAGTCAGGACTACTGTAAGAAAGTTCATACAGCTTCATACAGACAAGCTATGACGCAAAGGGACAGTGAGCTGCACAAACCAATTACAGAAAATTTCACTGACTTGTTACATTTTTATTTAAACTGCTTCAGACCTTTTTAATAAGCATCATTTTATCACAGGCATTTTATGCATTATTAAAAAAAAAAGTTTATAACGGTGGCCAGTGTGACTTGTTTCTCCATCAAGATTAACATTTCACTGATTTAAGTGAAATAGTTTTTGCTATGGCATTGCTGTTAAGACTTCCAGTACTTTCACTTTCCTGGAGATTTAATAGAAATGCTATTACTGAAATTCCTCTCTACTTACTTTTAAATCTCTTTAGAAGTTGGTAAAGTGAACCATTTCTTTTACTGATTTCTCAGTAAACTGCTTAAGCAGATCTATTACGCTTCAGGGGACTATGCAGGGAAAACTCTCTTATTTACACTAAAAAAACTCTAAAGTTTGTGACGCCATTACTGCCTTGAGGACACAAAGACACACAGGAACAATTATTCTGTGACTCTTTTTTCTCCCCAACGAGTTACCTTCTTATTTCTAGTCAAAGATTCACACACTTTTTCTCTTCTGCCTTTTATCAAACATGTTTATCAAACTATCAACACTTCCATTAAGACTAATCACCCCCTTACTATCTGTCTGTACTCTACTTTAGCTAAATCATTTGTACATTAAAAACTCAGGATATCTCACCTATTTCTCAATCACTTATTCAAAGCAAGTCCTTGACTGTTATATTGTATGATAACTGTTTCCTCAGAAAAGCCTTTTCAATTCACAGTATAGCAGCCAATTCCACAGAAGCAAAAATAACAAAACAATTACGTATCAGCTTCATTAAGGCACTGCTATCTGGCATGCAGCTTTTTGTGTCCATTACAGCCACACCTTTTGCTACATAAACAAACAAATTATACAGCATACAGTTCATTAGTCACAAAGTTTTATTACAGTCACACCTAAGAAGCTTCTACCAAAACAGAAGGCAAAAAGTTTTTGTGCAAGATGCTGCACTCAGCTACGATCATGAGGGTACTTCCAGAAGTATTATAAAAATGCACTGAATATGCTAAAATAAAGAGGGAATCTATTCCTACTGCAACTTAACTCGCATTCAAAGACAGAAGTGACTTTGCAGTTACCAGTAAACTACATCTTTATGTTCTTCTCTGGTTCCTATTTTAATCTCAAAACACAAAAAGAAAGGCCTGTTTTTCAAAAGACTGAGACTAATAACAGAGTCGTTTTGAATTAATGTATACACATTTTCAAAATAACAGTTTAAAATTTTTAGATAGAAACCATTTAAAACCAGCTCTCCACATAGAAAGATTAAATAGAAGAAAATCCACAAAGTGAGAAATGCAATGCTTGAAAGGAGTTCTGCGGTGAACTAAATCCAACCCAACAGTGCAGACATCTCTCTGTGCTATGAGACATATCTCTAGGACCTGTGCTACTAGAATCAGACCTTAAAATACATTACTGCAGGCTATAAAGCCATGCCTTCCTGAGGAAAGCAGCATTTGCCACTGAACCTGGTTGTTAGCTCAAAGAAAGGGTAAGCTTCTTACCTATCATCCTGCTTCATCACTTTATTTAGACAGCCATCTCACTATTGGCATACAGCTACCTAGTATCGGCTGACTGAAATTCCAGAATCGCTAAAAAAATGTCCTGAAATAACCACTTCAGGAGAGTTCCCTTGTACTGTACAACCTTCAATGGCTTAGAAGATGCTCCTATTAAAGCAATGACAAAGTAACAAGAGCCCTCACCATGAATGGAGAAGTATTTATGGGCATACTCAGTTTCTGAACAACCAGGCAACTACATATTAATACAAATAAGATTAAAAGATGAAACACTGGCATGAGAAGTGCAACTTAACCAATAAAACATAAGGACATGCTCTTGTGTTAGCTTAGGATTTTCCTTCTTCTTTTCAGGCACAGACAAAATCAGCTAAGTTTTTCATTTTACCCAGCTACTAACACTGCATGCATCATAAAGGGCTCAGTTCAGGCTTAATTCCCCTTATATGACAGACTCCCTACTATCAACAGTATTAAATTACCCTGCCAACCTAAGAGTAACTGCACTCACATTATCTACATTACAAATGAACTAACTACCCTGCCTAGTACAGAAATCTCAAGTTACTAAATGAAAGAGCAGAGAATTAAAAACCCCATACTTTCTCAGAGCTTTAATACAGCACCAAATTTAACAAAGACACTCCAGCACTACATTCATAAAGACGGGCTAGAAAGAGTAAAGCATATCTGCGAAGGATTCCCCCAGTCTCCCACCAAATGCCTGAGGAGGCCTGAACAGACACCAAACACTGCTTCACATGCCTTACTACAAAGTATAAATAGGAATAGAATGTTTCCTTCACAAATTCAGCTTTCTTAAGGCCTCCAAATTCTTTCCCTCCAGACAACACAACACTACTTCTCTATCCTGTATTTCTGTGGTTGATTGCTCCTGCTAACACAGGAAAAAAGCTCTGCTCAGGTGTACCCACTCCTCCTTGCAAGTTTCCAGATCTTTAAGGTATTTTGATTTACACTACCACTTTCAGAAAGACCTGAAATCTCTCAGGTTTGGTGCCTTCTATGGTTTTAATCACCATACTATTTCATTAGGGAAAGTCTAAAAACCATTAAAAGTATTTGACAAGGGAATGGCCTCCTTAGCCACAACAGTGGCTCTTACCTGCTTTCTTTCCCAAGAAAAGACACCCTAAGGAACAATCAAAGTCCTACTAAGCAATACATAAGATTATAAACTGATCCTCTTGTATACAGTAGGTCCATCAGTCATTACTTAAATAGATTAGATTACTTCAACTATTTGTCCTTGACAAACTGATGCTGTCTTTTACACACCTATTTGTAAGTACATAATCTATGTACTTACAAATAGCTTTAGCACCAGAATTTTTTTTCAGGAATTCAAGAAGAGGAATCTGCCAATCTGTAGCTCTGCCTGTCCTTCAAATATTACTAATAAAGACAGCCACCATGCTTCTGGTTTTCTTGTCCAGTACCTCAGACATTTCTAGAATGCTAAAGAAATTTTTTTTTATTATTCTTCAAGCATTCTCAGGTAAAGATCAAACAAATTTGGAAAAGCTGCATTTCTAGACATTTTGGATATTTCCGCTGAAACACCTGAAAAACCAAGCAGCCTTACTTTGTATTTTTAAAGATCATAACTACATCTGAAGAAAACCTGTCACCAAAAAAGCTGCCAAGCTATGAAAGGGATTATCAGATACAGACAGCAACAGAACTGAGAGCCTTAACATATTAAAAAAAAAAATCTGGGCAACAGCATCTGCCACCTCAAGCTGAATTCCCAGCTCACCTGCAAGTACAAAAGCTGCCATCTCCAGCAATATATCAATGGCCAGCTTAATGATGACCTTCTGCCTTTCCGTCAGAGAATAATCTGCTGGTTCTTATTGAGGTTCTACTTGGCAAAAAACCACAGTGTTTGGATTCTGAAGCCTGCCCTGCTCAGCAGAATTATGCTGCTAAGAATCATAAAGAAAGACTTTGCTCTCCAGACATGTAGTAGTAAACTACAGCCTTCCGTACTGATAGAACTGCCTCACACTAAGAATCCTTGATGCTTCCATCTTAAAACAACAAAATGGGCTAACTTACATTTCAGAACTTATAAACAGAGAACAACAAGAGGCAAAGAAACAACACAAGTAGTCCCTTCAGCTATTTTAGTATTCAAGTCTGCATAGCGTGTTGTGGGGATTTCTTTTAGGTTGGTTTCAGGTTTAGGGGAGGGGTTTTGTTTGGTTTTCGTGGGTTTTGTTTGGTTTTTTCCCTTTGGTCGGTTTGGGTTTTTCTGTTTACTTTATTATTACACACTGGCCCTTACAGCTTGGGGGAAATAGTAAGTATTTATAAACAGAAAACAAAGAGCTGCTTTATATCTGTACAGTGAGAAAGCTATCTAAAGAAAGAAAATAGCCACAAACAGCCCAAGAAAAACAACCAGAGAAATCATCTGATTGCACTGAGAGAAAAAACCTCTGAGATTAGTGAAGAAAGCAATTTGCACAGCTTTGTTCTTCTAAGACACACTAGTCAGTCTATGTACTAACTGATACTTTATTAGTACCTGTCAGTTCAACTATTTTAATGAAGAAAAATTCTAAATTGACTAAACATTTAATTGATATAGATCAATCTATATTTAATTGATAATAGTTCAATGTTTAGGGAAACAAGTTTTCTATCTTTTAATTGAAAAAAAAATGCTATGCTGATACCACCCAAAATAGCAGTACACTGATTTTGCAGGAGACTAGGTTCCACACAGTAGCACTAAATGCAAGACAAATGCTTGACCAAGGAACACAGTACAAAACCACAGCAAGCTCATTTGCTTTACATGGTGCTGCCTTGTCCTCTACTAAGGGATCACAGAATCTTTAAGGTTGCAAAAGATCCCCAAGATCACCAAGTCCAATTTTTAATATATTAAGTACCACAGAGGCTGAAGCTTTCAAACAGTTTAGGGAAGTATGCTGAAATTAACACATAGAAGAAAATAACTCATTTATCGGAGGAACTGAAATAGAATCACATATAACTACTGTACAGTTGCATGCAGAATCTAAAAAAAGAACAGAAATCACTATCTGGGCTACCAGACTAATGCACTCACACAAAGCAGGTGTCAGTAAGGCCGTCACATGACTACTGCCCCAACACTGCATTCAGGCAAACAGACTATTTGTTAATTTCCAGAATGTAAAAAAACACTTGGATTTTCCACAAAACCATCTTTTCATTTCCCATACATTAATAAAGAAGAGTGACATGATCCACAAAGAAAAAAAGGGCTGCAGAAAAGCTGAAATAAACTCAGCTTTTTTTTTTTTTTTAAACCAAAACTCCACCTCTTTTTCATCTGATTATCTGCTTAAATAATCTTAAATAAATACTGTTCCGTGACTTAAGTTAAAACCGGAAACGTTTAAAAGATGCTTTTTTAAAGATTATATGGATGTTAAACTGAGTCACATCATTCTCTGTATGTGACTGAAAGCTGCGTGCTCTTTGCTACGGGCTCCATCCCCACCCTCAATTTCACAGGCACGTCTCTCCATCGTCATGCAGTAAACAAAGAACAGCATTTGCAAGCAAGTGGTTGACTAAGAGCGGGGCTGTAGGTATGTTCACAATTAGCTCTCCATCCCCATCAATTTCAAAACAAGAATTTGGGGGAAAAAAAAAAAAAAAAAAAAAAAAAAAAAAAAAAAAACCACGCAGGAAGAGCTGCATTGCTGAAAGTCCCGCGGGCTGTGAAACACGGTGTGAAAAGACGGCGGGGCTTGAACAAGCACGGTGAGGGTCAGGACCAGCCACACACGGCCAGTTTCAGGTGTCCCCGGAGAAAACCTTCCACGGTGGAATGTGCCAGCGCTCCCGGCGCCAGGCCTGTGCGGCACAGCACCGAGCTCCGGGCACACGGAACCAGCACCGCCCCGCGCTACGTGCTCGGGGTCCCTGACGGGCGGGCAACGCTCGGGATGAGAGCCTGGAAACGAAGGTGCCGACCGCCCTCGCCCAGCACTGCCCGGTGACCATCCTTCCCTCCGCGTCCTTGTCACAGGGGACGCGCTGGAGCTGCCGCTTCCCACCCAGCTCCCGTCTCCGCTCAAGAGAACGGCCCGGCCGTGACTCGGCACTGCGGCCCCGCTCCGCCCGGCCCCGCGTCCCGCCCGCCGCCGTCTCACCACGGCCGAGCCGCCGCTCAGCGTCGCGTCCCCCGCGGGGCTCCGCCGTCCGCCATCCCGGCCGGCACCGGGCTCAGAGCGTGGCGCAAGGAGCGGCAGCCGCTCCCGGCTTCTTCCGCGTCGGAGCCGCCGCCATTCGCCGCCCGCCGCCGCCGGCCCGGCACGGACCCGCCTCCGGGCGGGCACAGGACTACGAACTACAGCTCCCGGCAGCCTCTGCGCTCCCCCACGCTGCGGCTTCCGGCCGGCGCCGGGATGGCGCGGTGCTGAAAGGCGCGGGTCGCGCGGCGGCGCGCGTGGGCCTCCCAGCGCCATGTACAGGTACGGGAGCGTGGGGGCACGGGAACACCGGGACAGGGGGATGCGCCGGGACACGGGGATACGAGCACCGCCGCTGGGCTGCGCGGGAGCCGCCTGGCGCCGGGGCTGCATGTGAGCCCTCGCGGATGCTCTCGGGCGGCCTGGCTGCGCGGGAGTAGCTGAGGGGCTGCGCGGGGGAGCCTCAGGAGCGGGTGTGGGACCCGGGGGAGCGGGAGGGAGCTCCAGGGCGTGGGAGCGGTGCCAGGATCAGACGTGTGAGCGGCCACGCAGGTGGTCCCGGGGGAGCGGGGGGTCCTCCCTGGGGGCTGCCGGCTCTGTCCCGGCCGCAGCGGGCGGCAGCCGCGGGCAGAGCTTCCCCCACCCGCCCGGGCATCCCGTCCCGCTGCCCGCGCTGCCGCCCCGCCGTGCGAGGGCTCTGCCCGCTGCTGTCGCGGCTGTGTCCCGGGTTGGTGGTGTTGGGAGGCTGCCGTATCCCGCCGCCTCCATTGGCTCCCTTCCCCGATCCCTCGCCCGCCCCATCCGGGAGCGGGGCGCGCTCCATCCCTGGCGGGCTCTTCCCCAAAGTCTGCCAGACCGAGCACACGCCTGCGCCGTGGCCGCTGCTTGCGCTTCCAGCGCCCGTCCAGATCCCGCACTTAGTCGCCCTTCGTATTGATGTGGAGTGCGAGTGACTGAAATGCTTCAAGGATCCCCATCCTGTGTTTGGTGTCAGTCTGGCAGTACCCTCAGAGCCTCTGGGTTTTGCTGTGTCTGCAGGAAGCACCTCCAGGAGATCCCATCCTCTAGCACTAATGTTTCCACCAGCTTGGAATGGGACCCCGGCAAGACCTCGGAGCTTCTCTCGGGTATGGGAGTGTCAGCCCTTAAGAAAGACAAGCTGGGCAATGAAAACACACCACAGGACCTGCTGGTGTCGTCGTCCTGTCTTCCTCCAAAAAGGCAGAAGGTGAAGGACAACGAAAAGGACTTTGTTATCGTGCGCCGGCCATGGCTGCTCCGAGAGGCAGAGTCAGGTACTGTCACCCTGGGCCAGGTTCTGCTTGCCCTTTGGTAGAGATGGAGAGTGGGCATCACAAGTCTGCCCTGCTTTATTGTTTAGTTCTTTTGCTCTTACCCAGCAGAATGTCACTTTTAGATCTAGTGGCTTTCAGGCTTGAGGTGATAAATCCTATTTTATGTGTGCCTTTAAGTTGGGGTGGTGTGTCTGTCTCTAGAATTGTGGCCCATGAAAAGCATGATTCTCTGCTGCCTAACCCCGTGAGCACCTGTGTGTGTGTGTTGGGGGGTTGTGCTGCATGTCCCTGTGCCTGTTTGCTCTTGCTATGTGTGGGACATAGGTGGCACTTTGGCCCAGCTGGGCTGTATTGTGAGTCAGTGTTTTAAGGTCGCTCAAAGAATCAGCAGCAAAAGTAGGTTTAATGTAAAAGCAAAAGTGTGACAAAGTTTGTTGGCAACATTCACTTTAGTTACCAGGTGGTTAAAGCACACAGAGAAAAAACAAGCAAAAATCAATCAGTCTAAAACCAAAGTCAATCCAAAAGTTACCTGTTTGGAGGCAGGAGGAGAAGGGTAAGTAAAGACTGCAGGCTGAGGTATGCCAGCAATGTCCCAGCACGTGAAGGACTGTGCCTGAGAACTACTGGATAAGCACATCAAGGGGTGGAAGCCTGCGGGGCTGGAAAGGGAAAGAGCAGGGCTCTTGGACTCTTGAAAGGGGTGTTATAGAATACTAGTTCCTTTCCCAGGTGTCAAAGTGTTGTTTTAGTCTGGATGAGTATGGGATGCAAAATAAATAAGCAGCTCTGTCCTAATATTATGCTGTCATACAGAAGGTGGAAATGCCTTCAGACATTGCTGGTTTTATATAAGATGCAGTGCTGGGTCAAAGACAGCTGTTACTGAGCTCCACCATCCAGAAATCTCCCATGTGAATCATGACACCTTCTGGAGCTTGAGAGAAGCTGTGATTTGTACCACATTGTTTCACATAATTCTTGGAGTGGTGATAGTGTATATGTTTTAGGAAGCAGTTTGTAGTCCCTGATTTTTCCTGTGTATCACACAGAAGCATAGCTTACCTTGAGCTCCCTTCTGGGACCCTTGTATGCATAGGAAGAGTGGGCATTTCAGCAGAGGGGGAAAAAAACCCAGAGAATTATATAAGCATTAGATTACAAAGGCAGTAACTAAGATGCTCTTGTTCCCCAAGTGAGTATGTGAGTAGTGTCCGTGGCTTTACTATGTATACAAAGTGAATATTACAGGAACATTTACATTTACCAGTCGTGCCTAGGCAAAGATGGTAAAAATGCCATCCTACAATGATGAGCTGCAAGGGAGGTGAACAGTGGGGCTGATGTCTGATGTAGGCTGATGTATAGCCTACAGAGAAACTGTAGAGGGGCTTTTAACAACAAAACCAAATAAGACATCTGACCAGCAGGTAAAAATGAAGTTGCTTTAACTAGAATGTGCTTTGCTCTTTCCCTAAAGGTATTTATTTGGATGCACTTCCAGATGAATTGCTTCTGGCAATCTTTGCCTATTTGCCCCTAAAGGATTTACTGAAAGTTTCTATGATTTGCAAGAGATGGCATCGACTTTCGTAAGTATTATTTCTCTTCATTTAGTACTAAGGAAAATCTTTGTTTCCGTAGACCATTAAATGGTCTGGTTCTCATCTTAATTATACATATATAATTCAATTTAGACCATATGTGGATATGTATAACCAAAAGATGCCTCACTTGTTTTTTAACATTATTATAGTCTCTTAAATAGCTTTCCTTTCTCTGTCTGTTTTTGACACCAAAAGCTTTCTGTGGTTGTACTCACAGCTTTGACCTGTTACCCATTTGAACTCACTAACAAGTAAAATTCTATGCCACAGATTTGATGAATCTCTCTGGCAGACTCTTGATTTGACTGGTGGGAATCTGCTGCCAGGAGTGCTTGGACAGTTGTTGCCTGCAGGTGTTACTGTGTTCCGCTGCCCGAGATCTTGCATTGGGGATCCGTTGTTTAAAACAAGCAAGTAAGGCTTTTTATGCATGTTCTAGATCCTGAAATTGTCACAAATATTCAGTCTGTATTTTTGGTGTTTTGGTTTAAGGTAATAGCAACCAGCAGCAGTGTTTGTGCTGTGTCTGGAGTGTGGAAGAGCTGATCGGTGGTTAGGCATGTGTTGAAACAGGAGGATCTGCACTCACCTGTCAGTTATTTAAAACCAAGTTGATGTGATTTTTTTTTTTTTAAATATCAAGCACCATAAGGCCCTTGCAGTTTGTATCTTATAGAAGCCTAAATTATCATCATCCCCAGCATTTTTACATGGTACACTCAAAAAAATAATTTAACTCCAGCAGGATAGACTTTCAGGTGTTATGAAGAATTAGTAGAAATATTTTCTGCAAGGTGTGCTTGCTTTTAGTATATGGGCTATATTTGTGATGTGGGGAATTTATGAAGCAGGTTTTAATGCACTTTTAGTAACCTTTTTTTTTTTTGTTAGTCTTCTTAAAATTCAGCACCTGGATTTGTCAAACTGCACAGTGTCTGCTGCAGATCTCCACAGTATTCTTTGTCTGTGTGAAAAGCTGCAAAACCTCAGCTTGGAGGGTCTAGTGCTTTCTGACAACATCATCAAGTGAGTGACATGTTTGGGAATATTCTTCTGTTTGGTGCCATCATGTTGGGCAGGCTAATGGAAGAATGCAGTGGAAAGTTGTTCATTGTGGGTTCATTGAAATGGCCAGTTTAAGGTGGCCATTTAGGTTTTTTTTTCCCTCCCAATTCCCCATAGTAGCAGGAGGCTGGAGAAACTACTCACCTCTCTGTGGTTTATGTATCCATATTCCCACAGCTAAGCTGTACAGCAGAGCTACTTTTATTTTTCCATTTTTTTTGCTCCCCAGAGAACTTCGTGTTTGGTGTGCAGGTTCTTTTCTAAGGTCTCTCAGTAGCTCTCCCACCAGGTACCCATTGTGCTTCTGCACTGTTGTTCACTTTTTTATTGAACTTATGAAGTCCTGGAAGATTACAGATTCTGTCAAGCAGATGAAGTGTTTTTTGGTTCTGCTGCAGAGACACTATGGGTGTAGTCAGCCTCCTGTTCTGTCACACCAGGGGATTGTGGAGGTGCCACGGACCATAGGTCGGATGGCAGGACCCTGGCTTTTGAGGCCTTCCTCACTCCACAGAGGGGGAGCCAGAACACAAATAAACCAGTATAGTTTGGCTTTTTATACTAGCAGTAGTAACAGCTAAAACTATCAGAAAATTGGGTACTAATCAGGCAGTAATGATGGAATTCTATTGCCTTCTGAACAAATGTGCATAGTGAGTGTTCCACGTTTTGCTAACTGCATGTGTGTTCTAGTCTTGCAAACAAATGCATTCAGGGGATGCTATTTGGACATGGATTTTGTCCTGGAATAACTTCCATCTTGCAGAGGGCTGACATCAGAAATGGGATGGTTGCTTTGTCTTTTGTAGAGCTGTAGTCATCTCTGATAAGCTGTGATGTATGTCTATTGGCATACAACAGGAGAAGGTGAAAAGAAACCATTTCCTTGTAAACTTAGTTGTTTATAAATATGCAGATTTGTCAGCAGTGTCAAGTACATAGACAGGTATCCCTTTTATTGTTGTGCCTTGATGCAGCAAGTAGAGTTTAGACCCTTAGTGACTCAGGTTAGTCAGCTGATTAAAGATGCAGTACTTCATGTTTAATGAACAATTCCCTGTCCAGGAAACTAGGTCTTAAAAATAGTCACATCCTAGCAAAGCAAGCAATGTTCCAACATTTACATTTTATCAGATTTTTCTTTTTTTCTTCTCTCTACAGGAGCAT